TGTGTGTGTGTGTGTGTGTGTGTGTGTGTGTGTGTGTGTGTGTGTGTAAAAACATACAAAGACTTGGATATTACTGTATGGGCTAATGTACATAGATTATAGGCAAATATACCATTTTATATAAAAGATCTATGTGTCCATGGATTTGCTATTGGAGAGGGTCTTAGAATCAGTCTCCAGTGGCCACCAAAGAACCTGTAACTGTGTGTAAGACTGCTTTCCTTCTGTATGTGCTCTTATCCACATGGAGACAGTGTGGACAGAATTTTTTTAATGGCTAAATTTTCAGATGTGTGGTCAGATGGGAGCTAGGAACCTTCCAAAAGCCTAACTGTTCAGTAACTCCCAGGGTCTTGTTACACAGCAGACAAGGAAGGCTAGCCTGGGACCCCTGGCTGAAGTCTTACAAACCAAAGCTGATGCCTGGCGTTCGGACCCCGTGGTCTCAGTAACTATTCTTGCTCCTTGCATTTTAGGAATGCCAGTTGCCACTTCCAGGAGGTTGCCAATCATACCTCAAGTGTCTCTGGAGCTCTCCGGGTCTGCAACAGCTACTGGAGTCGAGAGGTCAGAGTCGGAGATAAATGTTGGACTGATGAATGGATATGTTATGTATGTCACATGTGTATGTGTTGAGTGTGTGAAGGAGGTGGACACTAGGGCTGAAGTAGGCAACTTGGATGGGCTAAGAGTGAAGGGAACAGCTTGGGGACATGGTCAAAAGCCAATCGCCTCTCCTCACCCAAGGGCTACATATGAGAGACAGGAGGGAAGGGGGACTATGTGTTCACGTGTGCTTCCACATGTACTGTTCCTCCTAGGTGTCTCCTTTGACAACTCTGGGCCTCTGGAGGCTTTGGAGCATCAGGCTATGCCATCCCACCTAGACAATTGCTCGATGATGGGGTATATACACCCCTAGCTGGGTCTCTCTTCTAGTAAAAGGAGAACAGCAAGTTCAGACAGGTCTCATGACTTCTGCAAGACCACACAACTGGTTAATGGGAGAGCAAAAATGAGCATCTAGATGCTTTAGTGTCCTTGCCAAATGTGTGGTCAAATCTAGGAGAGAATACAAGTTTAAAACCCTCCCAACACATCTGCTTTGGGTGGGAATATCATTTACCATGAGTGCAGAATTGGCCTGAAGTTGAGAAATGCTTACCAGGAGCTAAGAACATGACAGGCTCAGGATGTGGTAGATGTAGCAGAGGGAGCCAGGTGCCCAAACTCTTGTTCCATTAGCCATGTCTGTCTTCTCACCACTCCTTAAGCACCCCAAGCTACAAAGGGCTCAAGACGTGGATGCACTGCTGCTGGGCATGGCCTCCCAGATTGCTGAGAGAGAGGACCACGTGATGGTTGAGGATGTGCAAGGTGAGCCTAAGGCTGGCCCTGTAGCTGGAAGGAGGTCCAGCTGGACCTGCAGAGGCAGGCAGGGAGGAGCTCTCAGGGCTGAGACAATTTCTCATCCGCTGATCATGGTTCCTTCTCCACGGCTCAGATATTTCTGGGATTGGTTAGAATGGTCTGGGCTGGAGGCTGCATTGATGGCCCTCAACTCCCTCTAACCCTTTAGTATTTCTTTTTCAGATTTCTGGCCTGGACCACTGAAGTTTTCCCGTACAGACTACCTGGCCAGTTGCCTGCAGAGGGGCCGGGATCTAGGCCTGCCATCTTACACCAAAGCCAGGGAGGCACTGGGCCTGTCTCCCATTTCCCACTGGCAGGACATCAACCCTGCACTCTGGAGGAGCAATAGCACTGTGAGGAAGGGTCAGGACCCAGAGAGCTGGGGGAGGGGCCTGGGCACGCTGCCCAAACAGGGACGATGGACAGTAAAATATGGGTACCAGAGACAGACACTTGGTGTGAGGACAAAACTCACGCAGGTCATGTTTTCCAATCTTGTACACCAAGTTAAAAGATTCCAAGTCCAGCAGGATTTGCCTTTTGACTTTGAAGGCCCAGGTCCAGTAAATATGTACTGACTATCTGTTGCTTGCCACATACTTATTTGATAGTCAGTGGTTTTGTTACTCTTAACAATCCTATAGTGGGTATTGTAGGTCCTTGACTTAGGAACAAGCTATGTTTCTATGTATTGATATTCTAGCTGCCTTTACCTGAAATTGGCTGTTACACTCTGAGCTACCCCCTGTAGGCAAATAGCATTGCCTGCTCGTCAATAGGCCGAGTTTGATTGTCTTACCATTTTCGCACAGTCATCTTGGCCCAGTCACCTAGGCATAGAGGAGTTTGCACAATCGTGTGCCTGGTACATTGTATTTTGCCCTTACTGTAGGGTTGCAGGAAAGACGCAAAAGGCTTATTATAAGGAAGTGCTATGCCCAGCATGGTGTCTCATGCCTACAATTCTAGCATTTGAGACAAAAGCAGGAGGTTCAAGGCCAGCAAGTTCCAGGCTGGCCCAGGCTACAGGAGAGCCTGTCTCAAGAAATACTCTTCTCAGCCCTCCCTAAAAGTAATTCATATAGTGGTCTCAGGGGATAGCTTAGAGTGTAACAGCTAACTTAGGGGTAATGGCAGCTGGACTATCAATACATAGAAACATAGCTTGTTCCTAAGTCAAGGACCTACAATACCCACTATAGGATCGTTAAGAGTAACAAAATCAAGGTCTGCCAAGTAAGAGTGTGGCAAGCAACAGATAGTCAATACATATTTACTGGACCCGGACCTTCGGAGTCAAAAGACAAATTCTGCTGAACTCAGAATCTCTTAACTTGGTGTACAAGTTACAAACTTGTAAAATCTACATCAACACAGGAATCACGAGACAAGTCAATAAGAAGTCTTTGGCTTCAGTTAGGCGTCACTGGGATGAATCTGGTCAGGTGCTTAGATACAAGTAAAGAGCAGGAGTTGTCAAGATGGCATTTGCTGCCAAGCCTGACAACCCAAGTTTGATCCCCTCCGGGACCCTCACGGTGGAAGGGGTAAACCAATTCCTGAAAGTTATCCTCTGGTCTCTACATGTGCATCACAGTGTACACACACACACACACACACACACACACACACACACACGTAGTAAATTAAATTAAAAGCAGAGTAGAAAACTGTAGTGGGTGAGATATCAGAGACCTTTATCTCTGTCCCAGCACATGGGAGGCAGAGGCAGGAGTATCTCAGTTCCAGGCCAGCCTGGCGGCAGCAGAGTGAAACTCTGTTACAAAAAAAAGACAATGGATAGTTAGATTTTTTAATTAATTAATTAATTAATTAATTTTGATTTTTCTAGACAGGGTTTCTCTGTGTAGCCCTGGCTGTCCTGGAACTCACTCTGTAGACCAGGCTGGCCTCAAACTCAGAAATCCGCCTGCCTCTGCCTCCCAAGTGCTGGGATTAAAGGCATGCACCTGGCCAGATTTTTTTAATACACTCTCACTTGAATGCATGGTGATCCCCCTGCCTCACTTTCTCAGTGCTGGGATCACAGATGTGAGCAACTGTGACCACAAATTGCTAGGTATTTAGTTGTTTAAAGTTTTTTTTTAACTTTAAGGATAAAAACCTTTTATAATATCATTCCAGGATTCAACCTCTCAGTCTGACTTGCTTCTCAGGCTCCACATATTCCCACAAACTATGTGGAAGACTGGCTATTGTTGTTGGGTTTGTTTTTGTTTTTTGTTTTTTTTTGTCTTGTTTTGTTTTTTGGTTTTTGTTGTTTTGTTGTTTTTTTTTTCATAGAGTATGAATTGGAATCTGTGGAAAGTTTCCCATAAATGAGTTAACTTACTCTAAGCACCCAGAGCAATGCCTGGGGTGTAATAAGTACTCTCTAGGAATGAGTTATTATTAAGGTCTTTTGTTGTTATTGGCCCGGAGGCTAATGCCTGAGGGCTGTCTCTCTGCCCAAGATTGGCTGCTGAGTCCTCTCAAACAAACACCCTCTCTGTTCCAGGTGCTGGAGGCCACAGCTTTCCTCTACAGTTGGGATCTGTCTCGGCTGGAGCTACTCCCAGGGGGGCTTCTGGAGAGCCATGGAGACCCTGGACCCCTTTTCAGCACTATTGTTCTTGATCAGTTTGTCAGGCTACGAGATGGTGACCGCTACTGGTTTGAAAACAGCAGGAATGGGTGAGGCTTGCCTGGACTGTGTCTTAGAATCTACCGCAGCCTGGACCACAGGCCCTCTGCTTGGCCCTACACAACCCTCACAGGCCTCAATTCCAGCCCTTCTGGGTCTCTCAAGTGAGGATTTGTCTCTGACAGCTCCCTAGGCTGGCAGGCTCTTACAAACAGCTATGGCTCAGGGGCTCTTTCCCCATGGGCTACCTGAGTGTGAGGTCCTAAATCTCTCCTCGATCTTGACAGCTCGCCCACCTCTCCTATGTCCAGATTGTTCTCTAAAGAAGAGATTGCAGAGATCCGAAACACTTCTCTACGGGACATCCTAGTGGCTGTCACCAATGTGGACCCCAGTGCCCTACAGCCCAGTGTCTTCTTTTGGCTTGCAGGTAAGTTACTAGAGGTAGTTGAAGGGATGCTAGTCCAGTCTTTCTCAACTGTAGGCTTGGTTTGATGTGGTTGGATGACCACTCCAGGTGTGGTGTGAGCTACGGTTCTGCCCTTGAGAAAGTTGGGTTGCCACTTACAGTTTCCCTTGAGGGAAAATTAGTAGATGCTGTATTGGGGGCAGGGCCAACTCTCTTAAAGACTTGGGGGGATTCTTATATTTAAATGGAACGAGATTGGTCTGTGAGTGGCTTTCAGAGGGCCAAATGAGGGTAAAGGATATTATATTCCACAGCAGGACTGAAAAACGATGTGAGGAGGGCAGGGTGTGGTTAGAGATTTTGAGGTTCATGCTGGGACCTGTTTGCTATCCACATTGGCAAATGCTGCAATGACAGGGGTAAACAGCCCCATTCTCCCTCATCTCCTCTGTTATCACCCTCCTCAGTGACCTTGTGCCAGATTGTGGCATAGTATTGGGTGTTCTGACTTCCTCTGCCTCCCCAGGAGACCCCTGTCCACAGCCAAGTCAGCTCAGCACCAAGGGCCTGCCAGACTGTGCCCCCCTCTTCATTCGGGACTATTTCGAGGGGAGTGGATTTGGCTTCGGACTCACCATTGGGACCCTTTGCTGTTTCCCCTTAGGTAGGAGAGTTATGGGTAGGCAAGGTGGAGCTTTTGAAAGGTGTAATCTAGGGGGTGGGCTGGGGTTGTTTTTATGCATAACAAGGCAGAATACTGTCCCTCTGGTGGTAAGAAAAGCTTTAGGGGAGGGAAAGATGTCTGACTGCAGATAAGTGAACTCCAGGGAGATTTGTCTCCCTGATCTTCTGGGATGCTCCCAGGCCCAGCTTGGTCAAGAGACCATAAGAGTCCCTGCTCTACCGCTGTTTTTAAGAGGTATCAGAGCTATTAGACAAATCCTCAGCTGAGAAGCAGAGCTGGGGTAGACTCAGTTTCTGGAAAAGGAGCGTGGTAAGGGTGTTTGTGGGTGGCCCAACAGCCTGGTATGGTGCGTCTAGCTTGTGGCTTGAGGACTTAGTTTCTGGCTGGGAAGGGACTTGGGTAATGGAAGCAATGGTGGCTGATATTTTAGACACTACTCAGAGGTTCCCATGGGTTGCAACATGCTTCCTCCACGGAGCCTGGAAATTTGAAAGTCGGGCAGCAGGGCGGTCAGAAGGTAGGAATAGAAGGAGCTCTTCCTAAGGAATGAGTTAGAAGGGAGTGACTTCTCTCTCTCTCTGACAACCACTTTTCCCGAACATCCCTCTCCACTCTCACACCAGTCAGCCTCCTCAGTGCCTGGATTGTTGCCCGGCTTCGGATGAGGAATTTCAAGAGGCTCCAGAGACAAGACCGCCAGAGCATCATGTCTGAGAAGCTTGTAGGGGGAGTGGAAGGTAGGCCTAATGGTAGCCAGGGTGGTGATGAGAGGGACATGATTTGGGGCTATGCTCCATACCCTCATCCCAGAAGTCCAAGGAAAAAGATCCTCATCCCTAGGGATGTAGATGAAGCCTGGGCATGTCTGGGAAAGCCACCGTAGGCACTGGATCTGCAGTTTTCCGAGCTTCAAAGCTCCTCCCAATGATCCTAAACAAATGGAATGTGATCCAGTAGTAGAAGAGTCATAAGACCCTGCCTTCATCTCAGAGGGCTATGACTCACAAGTCCTGAATGGCTCTGCGGCACCTCGTGCTGGAATCGCAGGCAACAGACGTAATTAATGAAGCTCTGAAGTCAAGTGGGATTGGAATCTAGGCTCCACCGCTGAGGACCGCTGTTGGTCCTTCGGCAGATTTTGTTTTAAATCTCTCTAAACCTGTTTCTTCTTATCTGTAAAGTATGATCCTAACGGTGCCTGTATCTTAGGTTGTGAAGAAATGTAATAGCTAATCCAAAGCTCTACAGTGAGCATCCAGCAAACACTCAGGAAACAGTGGCCCTTATTTGCCTCGTGGGTTAGAGGAGGAGCAGCAGAACTGCTGAGGAGAGGATGGCCCTCAGAGTCCAGCATTGGTGGGGTCAAGTGCTGCTGAGACCCTGCACTAGCCCTCTCTCTCCCTATGTGTCCTTCTGCACCCCAGCTGACCCAGCCCCATCTCTTGCTTCCCAGCTTTGGAGTGGCAGGGCCGCAAGGAACCCTGCAGGCCAGTGCTTGTGCACTTACAGCCTGGACAGATCCGAGTACTGGATGGCAGGCTCACTGTGCTCCGTACCATCCAGCTGCGGCCCCCACAGCAGGTCAACCTCATCCTGTCCAGCAACCGTGGACGCCGCACCTTGCTGCTCAAGATCCCCAAGGAGTATGACCTGGTATGGCCCAGCTGGCCTCATCACTGATGAGGCAGTTAAATAAAGGGAAAGGAATACTGAGCCAAGAGACAGGGTTTGGCTTCTAGTCCCAGATGTAGTACCTGATAGAGAGATAAATTTGAATATGTCTGTCCTGTTCTGGATCTGCTGGTTCACAGTCTCCCCACATTCTGGCGGCAGCTTCTTTGGTTGTAAGTCCTAGCAATGAGTTCCTAGAAGAACCTGGGTCCTCTTCTCTATTCTATTTCAGACTCTAGAGGATTTTCTTTTTTTTCCACTAATTAATTTATTTATTCACTTTATATCCTAATCAGGACTTGGAGGGGAGTTAAAGAGAAGGCTGTCATGAGTTCTGACTACCTGGATCACAGCCTTCTCCAGCCTCTGCCCCAATTCCCTGTGTCCCCCTGCCCCGCTCCAGCTTTTCTCCAGTATGGAATATGGCTCACTAAAGTTCTGTAAATGAAGGACTATTTTCTCTTTTGCAAGGCCACACCAATGACCCTTTGTGTGTTCCATGTGAAACACCTGCCCTTGAGAGGCCCCGACACGTTTGCCTCTGCTCCTGCTACCTTTGAAGGTGCTGTTGTTTAACACGGAGGAGGAGCGGCAGGCACTGGTGGAGAACATCAGAGGGGCGCTGAAGGAGAATGGGCTGAGCTTCCAGGAGTGGGAACTGAGGGAGCAGGAGCTGACAAGAGCAGCAGTGACCAGGCAACAGCGGGGTCACCTCCTGGAGACTTTTTTCAGGCACCTTTTCTCCCAGGTATGTACATGAGATCAGATCTGGGGTGTGTGTGTGTGTGTGTGTGTGTGTGTGTGTGTGAGGTCATGGGGATGATCATTCAAATCCCAAGGCTTGAATTCTCAGCTGAAAAATCTGTCCTGATTTATGTCAAGTCACTAGGCTTTTATGTAACTGGAGTCCTAGGCCAGATCTGGAGGATTGGGGGTAGAAGTGTGTCCAACAGATTAGGTTCAGCCACTTGCCTCACAAATTAAAGTAATGGTGGCTACTCAGGGAAGGAATCTAACCAACATAGCCATGTTGGGAAGACAGATGGAACATCTAAACCCTGTCTTTGCGGGTACTGACAAGTACTTCCGGATTATATAAGGAAAGGGCAGAAACTGGACCTAAGGCATGCATAGTTAGTCAACCTTATCAAACCGTGGTCTGGTTGGTTAGTATTTCAGTGTCAGATCTGCAGCTTGGTTCCAGTGACTATGTTACTCCCTATTACTTAGGCAAACGTTCTGGTTCCCTTGAGATGAATTGTTTTGCTTAGGTGGGCAGCCTCAGTTCCTACCATGGAGTACCTGCTTCTGTTTAGAGAGTAATGTCATCATGGGATAATCTGCCTGCAAGTTCTGCTTGCTGTTCCAAGGTGACTGCAGGTTCATGTCAGTAGCTAGAGATTTCCAGGTCTGGAACAGGATGTAAAGTCTGGTGGTAAAATACCTTTGTTACACTCTTCTCGATGTCTTCATCCTTGAAAAGGGATGAGATAGATTAGGTAAATTTAGGACTGATCACCCTGATGACATTAGGGGGGTTTTCGTTTTGCTTTTTCAAAGGGATTTATTTTTAATTATGTCCACGTTGGTGAGGGACAAATGGGTATGGGTGCCTCCAGAGAGCAGAGGTTATCACATCCATCTTGGACTTGAGTGACAGGCAAGAGGTTGTGAACTTCCTGAGAAATCTAATGAGGGTGTTGGGAACTGAACTTGGAACCCCTTGAAGAGAAATATGTGCTCTTAACCCCTAGCCATCTCTCCAGTCCCTAGTTTCAGGTTTTAGAGAGACACTCATTAAGCAATTAACTTGTCTTCGTGCCTGAACTGAGCAGGAAATGAAAGCCCAGAGGAGATACACCAAATAAAGGCACAGATGCCAAGATTTTTTTTTTTTAAGATTTTATTTATTTATTTTTATGTATATGATGAGTACACTGTAGCTTTTAGATGCACCAGAAGAGGGCATCAGATCTCATTACAGATGGTTGTGAGCCACCATGTGGTTGCTGGGGATTGAACTCAGGACCTTTAGAAGAGCAATCAGTGCTCTTAACCACTGAGCCATCTCTCCAGCCCCAGATGCCAAGATTTACTCTGCTTTGAGGAGTCTGTTGGCCCACTTGAGGAGCTAGTGCTTTCCTGCAAAAACAGCCTCTAAATTCTTTTCATATTTACTGTGAAGATGTCCCAACCCATCTGAATCCTGTCTCCTGATGTAAGACTTCAGGGAGACAATGTGCAAGAAGGGCAAGCCAGTACTGTGGAGCCCTTGAGACCCATATTTCATCCCTTCTTCAGGGAGTGTACCATGGAGATGTAATATCTGCCATGAACTTCAGAAAACTACTGGGAAGATGTGGGAAAATTTGATAGTGGGGAGAATTTCAAGACTAATGTCCACATCTAGTACAAAAATAAAGGTAACCTGGATAGAACACTACAGTGGAGATAGAAGATTAAATGTAGAAAGCTTGGTGCCAGCAAGGCAGTGGTGGCACACGCCTTTAATCCCAGCGCTTGGGAGGCAGAGGCAGGCAGATTTCTGAGTTCGAGGCCAGACTGGTCTACAGAGTGAATTCCGGGACAGCCAGGGCTACACAGAGAAACCCTGTCTCAAAAAAACAAAACAAACAAACAAACAAAAAACAAACAAACAAACAAACAAAGAAAACTTGGTGCCACACACCTGGAGTCCTAGCACTGAAAAGGAGAAACAGGAGGATTTGGAGTTCAAGTCCAGCCTGGGCTACTGTCTCAAAACCAATGATGTCTGTGGACATAGTTTAGTGGTAAAGTACTTCCTGGGATGTGTAAGACTCTGGGTTCTATTCCCAGCATGGGGCTCATGGGTAGACATGAATTTAGCATGCATGCCATACCTAACAAGTTAATCATGCTATTGGGATAGTGGTGATAGTCACACAAAAGACTGGTAAGGAACGAAGATTATAAAAGTGATACAGGAAGCATGTGATCTAAGATGTTAGAGAAGAAAAGCTTTCAGTCTGGTGTAAGTTCATGATGGAAGTAAGATTGTCAAGGGCTCCAAGTTGGAAGAGTTGGGGCCCAGAAGAAAGGAGTGAGTAGGACTGAGCGTTGTAGAAGGGAGAGAGAGAATGAATGTCTGAGAAGGAGTGAGGCAGCTAGCTGGGAGAGGACCCATATAGACTGTCATTGAACAGGCATGTGCAATGGACTCTGGGTCAGACTTAACTCTCCACCTAAATGAATATGGAGTTTGCCCAAGAAACAAGGGACCCTCGGCTGGTAGGGTAGGGCTCCTTGTTTGGTCACAAGTAGGTTCTGGCCATCAGGTCAGATTTCGTCAGGATAAAGGGTAGACCTTGTTCTGGGAGTTTAATGGACTGTCAGCTATCCTGTGCTTTCCATTTTTAAACCCTTCCCTAGGCAGCCTCTCTTGCTGATTTCCATCATAACCTGTGAGATAAGTGAGGCCAGTGAGGAAATGAACCTCAGACAAATAAAGGGATGTGCCCGAGGTTATGGAGCGCACAGGTGGCAGTGTTGGGACATGAACCCAGGTCTCTTACTTCCTGCCCCAGGCTCTTTCCACTAAAGCACCTTGTCTGAAACTGCAATGCTTGCCTCTGAAAACACAGTCAGGCTTGAGCTGAGCAGCTGTTGGTAGGCAGGAAAAACAGGTATTGTGGCCTGTGGCCTACCTTCTTCCCTCTGTCTGTTCTCTTGCTGGGGCAGTCCCTGGTAAGATGGAGGTGGCCCATAATAAGAATTCTCCTCTCCCAAACCCTTGAGATGTCAGACATAAAGGATTCACATAGTCTCAGGAACCTCAAAGTGGGGTCTTTGGCTTGGCAGGGAAAGATCTGGAAGAGAAAGCTGTCAGCAAACAAGGCCTGTCTTCAACTACCTCTACTTTCTCCTTGACTCTTCTTCCCCCAGTGACTCTGAACCCACTGTGCTCATGTCAAAGCATATCTGGGACCTCTTGGTTCTAACTCCAAATACCCAGATTGGGCCAAATATACATACTTGGTTCAGTCAGCTAAGTTAGAGGGCCAGGACTCTGTGGTATAAATATAAATTACCCACAGGCCTAGGCTGCCTAGTATGCTGGACAAATATCTGCCTCAGAAAGTGGCCCCATCAACCTGTAAGTGAAGGATGCCTCCTCCCCCCATCCCACCTCTGGGACTACTTAAATGCAGGTGTTAGACATCAATCAAGCAGATGCAGGGTCTCTGCCTCTGGACTCTTCGACGAAAGTGCGTGAAGCTCTGACCTGTGAGCTGAGCAGAGCTGAGTTTGCAGACTCCCTAGGCCTCAAGCCCCAGGATATGTTTGTGGAATCCATGTTTTCTCTGGCCGACAAGGATGGCAATGGCTACCTGTCCTTCCGGGAGTTCCTGGACATCCTGGTGGTCTTCATGAAAGGTGAGGAAGAAGAAAATAATTGTCCAGACAGAGATGGGGCACTGATGTTGAAGTGTGACTGATCTATTGGAAATGGAGGGCCCCGAGGCTAGGTCTTCAACTATGGCAGATGCCTGGCAGTCTAGAAAGGGTTTCTAGAGGTTGGGTAGGTCTCTCCTCACAGGACCCCTCTTTTTTCCAGGCTCCCCAGAGGAGAAGTCTCGCCTTATGTTCCGAATGTATGACTTTGACGGGAATGGTCTCATTTCCAAGGATGAGTTCATTAGGATGCTAAGGTTGGTCCTCTCCACTAAGCAGGACAGGGACTGCCAGGGAGAAGGGGCCATCAATGGGATAGCAGAAGTATAAAGGAGAAGTAGAGGGCATTGTCTTTATCTTTGTAACCAGAACCTTCTAGAACTATTAGGGGGCTTGGGATTCATCTAGCTGGGACCCTGTTATGGAGGGCCCTGAAGTGGATGGCCAGTGAGCCTTCGTGTCTGGGCTTGGTGCCTGCTTCCAACCCTAGGTCCTTCATTGAGATCTCCAACAACTGCTTGTCCAAGGCCCAGCTGGCTGAGGTGGTAGAGTCCATGTTCCGGGAGTCAGGTTTCCAGGACAAGGAGGAGCTGACCTGGGAGGATTTCCATTTCATGCTGAGAGACCACGACAGTGATCTCCGATTCACACAGCTATGTGTCAAAGGTGGGGCTGCCTCATCAGCAGGGCTGATTTACTTGTTGGGTATAATTCCTATATACTTTTAAGAGCCCACCGAAATACTTTATTTAAAAACCAGAAGAAAAATCAATATAATAATCAATACATAACATAGCTAGTATGGATTATATTCTCTTTTATACCCATGTGATTATCAAATAACATTGCTAATTTATTTTTATCTGTATGGAGAAAGGGACACAAGAAGAGGAAAGTGCCCTGGGGCTTATGAATGTATTGTGGCTGCTGCAGTGGGTGGGGTAAGGATGGGTAGAAGACTTTTTTGTTTGTTTGTTTGTTTGTTTGAGACAGAATCTTGCTATGTGCATGGTGGGTGGCATGGAACTTGCAATGTAGACCAGGCTGGCCTTGAACTTGTGGCTGTCCTCCTGCCTCTACCTCTAAAGTGCTGAGATAACTGATACATGCTACTATACCAAGTCTTTGGTAGGAGATATTGACTGGGACCGTGCTTCTCCTGGCTCCTGGCCAAAGCCACCCCACCCTTGAACCTCTAAGCTTGGAGCAGGGAGGAGACAATGCCTCTTTGTTACAACTCTATTTGGCCAGGCTATGTTCTCCTCAGCTGAGTTGTATGGTTCCGGTATATTTGGAGTTTGGTCCCCTAACTCCCACCCTATCTCCTGGCTAAGTGCTCAGTAAGCGTTTGGAGTACATCACAGCCCAATTCCTTTGTCCTTCCAGCTCCTTCTTACCCTACCTGTGTCTGACTCATGTGGGTGGAAGTCAGGGTCTCAGTGAGGGAAGGGACAGATAACAAACAGGGGGTCAGTGTGTGGCCAGTTCTGAGCTGTCACAATGTCTTTGTGATTCTTCTCGGGGCGTGTTGAGACTAAACCCGGTCCTTCCCAGATTATGAGACAAGTGGGGGCTGGCAGCATTGCTGAGAGACCGGAGCAAGTCGGGCAAGATGTGGATGAACTTCCTCTGGCCTGAGGGCAAGGGGAGCTGCTAAAGAGGAAAGTTGAGTTTTTAGTTTTTCCTACCAAGCCGAGGCAGAGGCCAGGGAGGCACCCAGAAGCGAGTCAGGCTACACAGTCGCTGGGACATTCTGCCCTGGGATAACTAGGCAGGGGTTGAGGATCGAGCCAAAGGTTAACTCTGTGCGGTGTCTCGTTTCACTTTAATCATCTCTATGCTTTGTTGTTTTCTTCTTGTCATTTGAGAAAGATTTTACACGACAGAAAAGGGCATGAGAAACATGCCCCTCCCTTTTCACCAGAATCCGCTCTTCATTCCTATTTCAACACACTTGCTGTTTACTGAAAATTGGAGAGTGGATATCTGTACGTGGTTTTAAACACTCGATGTTAGAGTGAGAACTGTGGATCAGTGGTTAAGTGCTCTTGTAGGGGACCCAGGCTGTTCCCAGTAACCACATGGCAGCTCACAACCATCTGTCCAGGTTCCAAGTCCTTGGTTCACAACCAAGTTCCAGGGCATCAGATGTTCTCATCCGGCCTCCTCAGGCATCAGGCACCCATGTGATACACATAAATACATAATACAGAACACATAAATACAAGCACCCACGAACATAAATTTAATAAACCTTTAAACACTTGAACTTCATGTAGATCAGTTTACCATAAGCCAAGACATCTTTGGTGTTGGCTCGAAACTTAGAAGCCCCTTGGAGGCTCCAGATCTCCTAAGAATCTGGATTTGCAGCTCGACCTTGCTTTGTTCAGCCCTGAGTTAACAATGAGATGAAACCTCCAGGGTTTCCTTATGAACAGTTTCAAACACAGAACAGAAAGACTTTTGAGTGACCTCCCTTTCAGCTGTCACTGATAGGTGAGTGCAATTCCCACAGGGGCCAAGAGCTGAGGCTGCGGTACCCTGAGGCAGGATCTCTTTTTAATGGATCCTTTCTACAGGTAGGCTTAGGGAAAGGGGGAACATGCACACTGAGTCAGGCTCTCTGAGACTCTGTTCCCTAACCAAGCTCTGCACCCCAGGGGTGGAAGTGCCGGAAGTGATCAAGAACCTCTGCCGGCGAGCATCCTACATCAGCCAGGAGAAGATCTGGTAAGCTCCCGTTGGCATGTATTGGGTAGTGGTCGTTTTGCAGAATGGCTGAGGTTGGGCACACCCCACTATCCAATGTAGCACCTTCATGCAAATAGAAAAGGGCTCCACTTCCTCCAAGTGGACAGACACATCCTTCCTCAGGATGAGGAGAGAGTCTGCTGAGTTTCGGCAAAGCTTGCTTACTGCCTGGGCCACGAGTCCTTGTAAGGACAGAGTTATATATGGAGGCCTCAGCTGGGACTCCTTCTCTCTGTGTGTCTGCCTCTCTGTGGGAATCTTGTTGTCCTGCATGGTGGGTTTTGATGAACAAAGTTGATTTGGAGGCAGAGCACAGCAGCAGAGGTCAGATGATACGTATGCCTTTCCTTCCTAGCCCTTCGCCCAGAGTGAGCATCCATTGTGCCCGAAACATCATGAAGACTGCATCATCACCACAGAGAATGCAGTGCCCCATGGACACAGACCCTCCTCAAGAGATTCGACGGAGGTTTGGCAAAAAGTATGCCTGCTATGCCCCTAAAGTCTGTGCATCCCTTCAACAATCCATTGCGTGGTTCAGGGCACTCTGCTTTATTGGCTGATAAATACTCTCTGCCTCAGAATGCTTTGGTACAGTGAGTCTGGTGCACCATACTGATGAATATTGGAATGGTAGGAAGGGCAAGGGAAACTCAAGGATGTTTTCTCCCTCTGCCTGGGAAGTCAGGAGGGCCTTTATAGAGGAGGCCTTTCCTAATTATGTTTTTGTTGTTAGGCTAAAACCATGACTCCAAGCAACTTGGGGAGAAAGGGGCTTATTCAGCTTACAGGTTACAATATATCACAGAAAGGTGCCAAGGCAGGAGCTTGAAGCAGAAACCATGAAGGAACACTGGTCACCGGCTTGCTTCCCCTAGCTTGTTCAGCTACATTTCTTATACAGCCTGGGCTCATCTGCCTAGGGATGGCGCTGACCATGGCTGGCTGGGTCTGCTGACATCACTTAAGAAACAAATGCCCTACAAGTATGCCAAACACCAGGTGTGTCAAGTTGCCTACTAAAGCTACCTGAGACAGGCCTCTTGAGCCTTCTAAAGACTCACTGTAGGTGCCTGGTAGGAACTACAAACAGGGAAGGGAAGGGACTCTCTGTGAACGGACCCTGCTGTAGATGGAGTGTATCCTCAGAGATGAAATAACTACTTAGAAGTCAGCCCTCAGACAGTGGATCTGAACCCTGCTGCAAGAGGCTCTGTCCTTCCCAGGCTGTTCCTGAGAGGGTCCTCCTTGGCGTAGCAGGTCTCCACCGGTATTGAGTCTCACAAGCCAAAGGCTTCCTCTCTCCCAGGGTAACTTCATTCCAGCCCTTACTGTTCACTGAGGCACACCGAAAGAAGTTTCAACGCAGCCGACGCCACCAAACGGTGCAGCAGTTCAAGCGCTTCATTGAGAACTACAGGCGCCACATTGGCTGTGTGGCAGTGTTCTACACCATCACTGGGGCGCTCTTCCTGGAGAGAGCCTATTGTGAGTGACATCGCATACCGCAAGTCTGGGGCGGGGAACTGGGGCCTATTGTGAGTGACACACATCCCAATGTGGGGTTGGGGGGAAGAGCGGGCTTCAATAAATGACAATAGGGTCACCCGCCGACAGCTGCACTGTTTCCCCTCCACAGACTATGCGTTTGCGGCACACCACAGCGGCATCACCGATACCACCCGCGTGGGCATCATCCTGTCCCGGGGCACAGCGGCCAGCATCTCCTTCATGTTCTCCTACATCCTGCTCACCATGTGCCGCAACCTCATCACCTTCTTGCGGGAGACCTTCCTCAACCGCTACATTCCCTTCGATGCGGCTGTGGACTTCCATCGCCTCATCGCCTCCACGGCCATCATCCTCACAGGCAGGGGCTGCTGCTCTGGGGTTCTCCTGGTGCCTTTTGACCTTGCTGGCTTCTGCTCCTCTCATGCTCCTCCCCGCCGCCGTCATTTACACCTAACTTTAATGTTGATTTGGGTGGCCTTCTCCATTAGGATGGAGTTAGCTGGGCTGTGGGATGAAATTAAGCCCAGGAGCCTACCCTTCCCTGAATGGCTTTTCCTGCATTTTCAAGGGCATCCTTGCCTCAGCTTCTGACAATCTACCAAGACTCTAGCACAAGGATACAAATGATTGCTTTCCTAGTCCTTATGCTTTAAAACAGATCTGTGAAAGAAACCAAAGGAATGTGCTTCCAGTGGTATAATTTCAGATGTGTGGTTGTGTTCATGGGTGGAACGGGGAAGGAGCCCAGCTCCCAAAGGTGCTGTTTCAGTCTGCCCTGTTTGGCACTTGAATGTGTTGCACACCCTACTTGGCTGTCCCTGGGCTCACCACCTTGTCTGGTCTTCCTTAGTCTTGCACAGTGCTGGCCATGTGGTGAATGTGTACCTGTTCTCCATCAGTCCACTCAGTGTCCTCGCTTGCCTCTTCCCTGGCCTCTTCCATGATGATGGGTGAGTGTGTGTCAAGAGTGAATTTCTTGAAGGTAGAGGATAAATCTTCTTGGCCTAGAGGACAGTGTCACTTTCTGGGATAAAGTGACAATGACCAAGCTGAGCCATCGGCAGAGAGAGAGACTGGTGACTAGGCAGTGCTGCTCCTCTGGGAACTCTGGGAGAGGTCTCAGAGAACTCAACTTACGACTTTGCTTTGTCTTCTGCAAGGTCCGAGTTCCCTCAGAAGTATTACTGGTGGTTCTTCCAGACTGTGCCAGGTGAGAGCCCTTCCCTTCCATCAATGTCCAGGCTTCAGTGTAAACTCCAGCCTCTGGGTTCTGTCAGTGAACAGCCAAACTTACTCAACTCTTACAGTGAGCCAGGCTCTGCCCTCTGTCCCCGAGGACACTCCTTGGTAGTAAGACTTAGCCTGACTGCATTGTCACCCTCTCATCCTTGGGCTAGTTCCTCCCTGGAAAGGGCTTGCTGGCCTCCAACCTGGACCAGTTCTCAGGGGATTGGGAGTAGCTCCCCCTTCTTAATACATGTACCTGTCATGATGCTTGCTTTGAGGAATGCTGTGTCCTGGCTGCATGGGAGAAGGACTTGGCTTTTTATCAAACCAGGCATAAGTCCCTACCCACACCATAAGATTTCTTGACAAAGATCCCGGGAGAGCGGGGGAGGAGACATAGTCCTAGCTTCCTACAATCACCCATTTCAGAGCTAATAGCTATGAATCTATTAAGACTATTTATATTTCAGTCTGTCCCCTCTTGGGGGCAATGTGTTTTCTATGCACTCCTTTCTGTGAAATACAGCAGGGTTGGTTTTTTTTTTTGTAATCCTACTACTTTGAACTTCAGAGGGCGCTTGCTGACTGCGGCACACTGGGATTTGGAGGATAAGACTGTATTTATGCTCCTCTCTCTACTCACAAGTTTACAGGCTGTGGTTCAATCCCTTCTTAACCTTTGCTTTCCCACACATCAGGGCTCTAATCTTCCTAATTACTGCCACTCTCCTCCTTGGTCACTGGAGGGTAGTCTGGGTTTCTACACCCCGTCCTGGCTCCAGCATTACCCTCCCTGTACCCCTGGCATGGAATCCTCCATGAAAGAGGATGGCGCTTTCTACCAGTTCCAGGCTGGACAAAGAACTCTGGCAATTTGCTGGGTTAGTATGGTCCCATGCACAAATTGGTCCAGAGTTCATGTCAAGTCCTATGATAGCCAGCGGGTTGGTGCAGTTTTGACGCCATGGGAACAGAGCCTGATATCCCCCATGTCTCATCTAGAGGTTTCTGTGCCTCCAATTCATTCAGCACACATTTATACAAAGCCTGCAGTGTGCCAGGCCTGGCAACAGGCAGGAGGCTCAGTGGTTAGCACAGCTTAGTGTGGTCCTTGTTCTTGAGGACCTGAGGGTCGGGAAAAGGGGTGACATTTAAAAAAATGTGGTGACACAGGCGGAAAGGATTACAGCTATAGAAGATGAATAGGCTCTGCTAAATCAAATGGTACCTATCATTTGGGTGCACTTAACTTCGAGACCACTTTGTCACCTGACTAGTTTGAACAGAGTAGTAGAGAGGGACATGAATGAATATCCCAGGACACACCTTCCACACTTCCCTCAGTCTTCTGCCTCCTGTCCTCCTCACAGGTCTCACTGGGGTCCTCCTGCTCCTGGCCCTGGCCATCATGTATGTCTTTGCCTCCCACCACTTCCGCCGACGAAGTTTCCGGGGCTTCTGGCTGACCCACCATCTCTACATTTTTCTCTACATCCTGGTGAGGGTTTTTGGCCGTGGTCCAGGCCTGTGGGGTATGTGAAAGACATTCCTTGGGAGGCCTTTAAGGCTGGGACATTGATTTTTCCATCCCCTAAGTTATTTCAAGTATTCATTTCTCCACATCCCTCTACAAAGATGGAAATTATAGAGTGGGGCTCTCCAGTCTGTTGACCCATTATGTGGCTCTTGGAAGATTCCTTCCTTTCTGTGCATGGGTTTTTTCTTTTTCAGTTGCAGCCCTGCCAGGTTCACCCACATTCCTCATAGACTCCCCCATACTGTTTCTTTCCAGCTCTTCTCTCCCTTTGGGTAGCTGGTTTTTGGTTCCAGGGTGGACTTCTTGTACCTTAAGGGAGAATTACTCTTTTGGAGAAAGTTCTGTTCTGATCTCATCTGAGAAAGCATTAGCTGCATCATCCAGCCAAACAACACTTGTAAAGTTAATAAGATCACTCAAAACACCAGCCAGATCACTGATTAGATGGACTTTAAGACTCCACCTTGTTAGGTTTTGGATGTAGCAAGTGATTCAAGAGGATGCTGAGATGGATTACTAGAAGAAAAGAAACTTATTTGAAGTGTTATCAACAGCATGTACAGACAGACAGACAGACAGACAGACAGAGGTCTGGGCTCCAAGGAGAGAGTTCAGGTCCCAACACCAGAGAAAGAATGGCTTGGGTCTTTGAAGACAGTCAGCACTTGGGAGGCAGAGGCAGGTGGATTTCTGAGTTCGAGGCCAGCCTGGTCTACAGAGTGAGTTCCAGGACAGCCAGGGCTACACAGAGAAACCCTGTCTCGAAAAACAAAACAAAACAAAAAAGACAATCAGAGGCTAGGTAGCAGAGGAAAGGATCTCTTACACCTTTTGAGGATGGGGGAGGTTTACACTAAGAACCTACAGCTAGCAGGAGGCAGAGAAGGGAGCAGAGAACAGATGTGGCATTCCTTTGATATAGACTCACTTCCTCCAGAGATGTCATGACACTGGCCTGTCAGCTAAGTCAAGACTCAGAGACAATGCCTGACAGTATCTGTGAGAGCAGGCCCAAGCAGAGGCTGGATTCTACCACTGCTATTCTTATACACCTATACTGTTTCCTTCTCAACCCAGGCTCCATGTCTTTTTTCCTTCACATTCCCTCTCCTCTCCTGATCCCTTCACCGTCCTCTGTGTTACCATCAGCTGATTCACCTCAATCCTGAGCCGACTTTGACCTGGGTCCCTGTGTTATTACTCTGATTGCCCACCTTCCTCAGCTATACAGTAGTCCCCAAAGGGCACCATACCCAAGTCTGAAGGCCTTCACTTTTCCTACCGGATAATTCACGGCTTGGCTGCTAGCATTCAAAGAGCCCAAGCCCCTATGACTAGCATTTTAATTTCCTAATACAGCAGTATACAGGGGTCTCCTTTGTTTTGAGATGAAGAATGTAACACTATCTGGGTGTGGCTTGATCCTGTTGTCCTGACCCTTCCTCCCAGATGCTGCTCTGTCCTCACTAATAGCTGGGACACACACACACACACACACACACACACACACACACACACACATTTGCCTGTGGCTCAGCACTTCCTGATTCTGAAATAACTATCTGGCTTGGCTTAGGATATTTCCTAGAACTGCTGTTTATTCCAAAGACTCTCTCTGTCTCCTGGGAGCTGTGGTTAACTAATTTCCTTCCTTCCCACTAATTTCCTACCTATCCAATAATGTGTGGATCCCTAGCCTGCTCTCTACTGCTCCTGCTATAAAAATTCTGTTTCTTGTTCCTGGTGATAAAACTAGTTGGAAGATCCAGTAGAGTGGCCAGCTTGATCCCCTGAGTCCAAGACTGCCTCCTGGTCCATTGCTGGCTGCAGACGTCACCGGGTTTCTGGGAAGCCCTAGCCTGGCAGATTGAGAACCTTTTACATGGGCAGAGAGATCAGGAATATAGCAACTGTCTTATCACTTCTCGCAGCGGGTGGAGGAAGGGAGGCAGTGGCTCTGGACAGAAAGGAACATTGTAAGTAAAAGACCCCAGTATAGGACAGAATCTGAGATAGAGTGTCTAAGTTGGCAACTCAGAAACTGAACTGCCCCACCGTGGGGTAAGCTTTAAAAATGTGGAACTCTTTACTGGGGAAGGAATTCCTGAACAAAAGACCTGATTTCAATGAAACAGATAGCAACCAAGGGTCTCTTCTGTCTTAGCTCTGACGGAGGCCCAACGGATGGCAACACTAAACCCCACCTTTAGGAATTCAGGATTTTCTGCAGAGACCAGTGACACATGCACACCAAACAGAAGGAATTGCTGAGCAGAATGTCCCAACAGTAAGCCATAGAAAATCATGGAGGAAAGTTTTACTTACACTGAACTGGTCAGGGGCAACTTTGAGAGCAAATGGGACACAGGCCACAGCTTTAGAAGAGAGAGCTAAACAATGACAAGGCTGAGTGGAAATTGAAGAGCAATCCAGGTAGCAGGATCTAGGTAGAAGGGCATGCAGATGTAGGGGTGGGAAACGTGATAGACTATCCAGGGGACAAAGGAGATAGGCCTGGGTAGCTGGAGACATGTGGGGGTGGCCGATAAGGCAGAATGGTTATAGCTCATCAGAGCCCATGGACATGGTGGAGCACAGAAAGACAAGAGCAGTGGGTGAGGACATGAAGCTTGGACCACACCCATTATTGGGGGTGACAGATGCAATGGGGCCCACACAGGAGCTGGAAATTGAGTGGCTGGGAAGGCTGAGGCAGAACCAGAAGAACACTGTTGCTGAAGTAGCTGTGAGACACAGAGGTGAAAAGAGGGTCACTAGTGTCACAGGCTACAGACAGGAAGCAGGCCTGACCTTAAAGAAAACCTTGTAGTAGAGCCTGATAGCACATGCCTACAGTCCCAGCTACTTGGGAGTCAGAAATAGGAAGATCGCAAGTTCGGACCCTGCCTAGTCTACACAGTGAGTTCAAGGCTAGTCTAGTCAAATCATTCAGACATTCTCAAATAAAAAGTAAAAAAAGAGCTTGAATGTAGCTCTGTGATAAACACTTATCTAGCAAGGCTTAAACCCTAGAGAACAATAGAGAGAGAGGGAGAGAATCTTGGGTGGGGCTGGTTATAATCTGTCAGGTTATTTCATGGAAAAGATAGACTAGTTAGGTGTTCTTAGCCACCAAAAGGAGGGATAAACAGGATGCCCTCTTCCCAACCATTATTGAGTACTAAGTGTGTACCCAGCGGGCACTACAAAGAGCCAAAACAATGCTAGCACAGTCCCTGCTCCTCAGACAGTTCAGGACAATGATGTGCACGGGAATGAGCAAAGGCTGATTGTGAATGAGGGCGGATTAAGTTAACCAGGAGATAAAATGTGAGGAGGCGCCATTCCTGCGGAAACTTGGGAAAGGGATGGAAGTTGCCATGGGAAGGTCTAGGTGTAGGAAGCCCAAGCTTCCCCTTAGCCCTGTAAGTGCAAAGATTTGGAACTCAAAAGACTTGTATTTGAGGAACAGAGAGGAAGAATCAACTAGCTGCATGGCCAGAGGGTGTAATGGGAAGCTCACTAAGGCTTTTTAGACAGAGGGCATGATTTAAAAGTACTTCAAAAGGTCACATTGCCAGGTGTGTTGATGCAAGCTTGTAAATCTAGTACTCAGAAGGCTGACGCAGGAGGATCACCAGAAGCTCAAGGCCAGCATGGGCTACATCTGAGATCAGCCCTGCCCCCCACCTCTCCCTCTCTCATACACACACTAGGTGTCTAACACGAGTCCAAGTGCGAGTCAACTTGGCTATGTCTGGGATGGTAGTATTCCTTTGGAATGCTTTGGAGGATGGAGGTGGCAGTGGTTGTTTTAGAACCTAGACGGTGAGGTGGGAAAGTTCACAGAGTCTAAGGCCAAAGCTGGCCCCACAGTCTGTTGTGTGTACCTCTGTGTTTGAGCCATATTCTTTGGTCTGTGCAGCTCATCATCCACGGCAGCTTTGCTCTCATCCAGATGCCCCGATTCCACATCTTCTTCCTGGTCCCTGCAATTATTTATGTGGGGGACAAGCTGGTGAGCCTGAGCCGGAAGAAGGTGGAGATCAGCGTGGTGAAGGCTGAGCTGCTGCCTTCAGGTACAAGCCTAGAGGTTGTGAGGGAACCAGCTTGGCTACTAAGGCAACTGACGGGGTACAAACAGTGCTTGGACCACTCTAGTCTACCAGCCTTGCCTAGTGGAGACGGAAGGGGCCTGTATTCGCTGGGAGGAGTAATTGGATGAGAAATGTTCTTTGCTAGAAGATTAAGGCCTGCTTAAGACAGAATGGAGGAGACCGGGCTAGGCTTCCCTTGCCCTGTGCATCCCCCAGCTCCTCCTCAAGGCAAGATTCTATAAAGGAATGTCTACTTGTTATCAGAGCTGAGGTTGGAGGAACTTTCTAGAGACTATACTGTTTCCGGGTCCAAGGCAACCGCTCTTGCATCATCTCTTCCCAGGAGTGACCCACCTGCGGTTCCAGAGGCCTCAAGGCTTTGAGTATAAGTCAGGGCAGTGGGTTCGAATTGCATGCCTGGCTCTGGGAACCACTGAGTACCACCCATTCACGCTGACCTCTGCACCTCACGAGGACACACTCAGCCTGCACATCCGGGCAGCTGGACCCTGGACCACCCGCCTCAGGGAGATCTACTCACCCCCAACGGGTGACACCTGTGCCAGATACCCAAAGGTGCCCGACTTCAGGCCAGATATCTATTCACTCTTAGAGTCTCCCAGCATCCCAGGCTCCCCATTGTACTGACCTTTCCACAATCCAGAGACTGGCTGTCCCAGAAAAGACAGATCCAACCCCACCCTGTATTTTTCCTGTCATATAACTCCCTTATCCTGCCTACTGTTTCCACTTCTGGCTTCAGAATGATGGTCAAGCTGAATTTAAAAACCACTGTACTCCCTACAGCTGTACCTCGATGGACCTTTTGGAGAGGGCCACCAGGAATGGCATAAGTTTGAGGTGTCAGTGCTGGTAGGAGGGGGCATTGGAGTCACCCCCTTTGCTTCCATCCTCAAAGACCTGGTCTTCAAGTCATCAGTCAGCTGCCAAGTGTTCTGTAAGAAGGTGAGCACCAGCCCCCATTCGCCTAACAATGACTGCATCTCCTGCCTCTAGTCTTGTCTCTGCTATCCAGACAAAGACATGTCAGTCTGAAACCCAGAAAGGGGTAGTGTATTGGAAAGATGCCAGGGTGTCCTGACAGGCAGAATTGGTATACTGATGTCTGTAAGCCCCCACCTAATTTTCCAAGAGTTTCTTCATAGGAGTGCCCACACAGGAGTTACTTGTGGGAGTCTCTCCAGGAGGGACTGAAGGAAGGTAAAACAAAACAAGCAAGCAACAAACAAAACTGCATTCCCTCATCCAGAAGAAACCAGCCTTTGGAGCACCAGCTGGGAGAGGGAAGGGCACCTTTGGGGTGGGGCACAAGTAAAACTGGCTTAGGTCTCAGGATCCAGGGGAGATGCCAAGGTAGGACTTGCAGGTGGGTTGGCCCTAGCAACCTAGTCAAGGCTTCAGGCCACCTCCAGACAGGGCCCTTTTCTGTAATTCTGACCCAGTGGCAGGCCCCTGCTTGTCTCTCTGGGCCTGGCAGGTGAATCAGGTATGCTGGAATGCAGCAGGCAGAAGCCCAGCCTACATGCTGCCTGCATTCAGAGGGTGCCAGCTCTTCCTTTCCTTCACTTGCAGCACCTGGTTTTATCCTCTTGAAAGCTTAAGTTGACTCCTCTTCCCCTGGGGGATGGGGGGGTCGGCTTTTTTTTTAAAGTCACATTTCAGCAGCTAAGGCTCCCCAGGGTGGCATTTCTATGAAATGCCTTTCAGCTCAAAAGTTCTGCCTCTAGGTAGCCGCTCAGACGAGCAGCACCCACTGAAGGAAGTGCTAGGATGGCTTGGCTTGAGAAGCTGCCTTGGACCAGACCTTCAGCTCAGTGGTGGAAGGCTCTTTGGTGAGATTGCTTCTCACTCCCAGCTCTCTCTGTCCAAGGGAAATACATCTCTGTACTGTACATTCTATCTCCTAGGTAGTCTAGAGGCAGAAACAGACTAGCTAAGGACAGAATTCCATGTTGAGATGCAGGACCTGTAGAGAGCGGGACCTGAGCTGGCCCTGAGCCCCAGTGTGTGTCCTCAGATCTACTTCATCTGGGTGACAAGGACTCAGCGGCAGTTTGAGTGGCTGGCTGACATCATCCGCGAGGTGGAGGAGAGTGACCGCCAGGACCTGGTGTCTGTGCATATCTATATTACTCAGCTGGCTGAGAAGTTTGACCTCAGGACCACCATGCTGGTAGGTCAGGGCCAGCCAGGCACGGCAGGTGGGCCACTCTCAGGGCCAAGGGTTGGTCCTAGCAATGACCTCCCTCCCCCATTTTGTTTACCAGTACATCTGTGAGCGGCACTTCCAGAAAGTGCTGAACAGGAGTTTGTTCACGGGTCTGCGCTCTGTTACCCACTTTGGCCGGCCTCCCTTTGAGCCCTTTTTCAACTCTCTGCAGGAAGTCCATCCCCAAGTAAGTCTACTTTATATCTTAGTTCTCCACTCCTTTGGTCATTCAGGGGCTGAGCAAAGCTCTCAATCCTACTCCATCAAGGAAACAATTGGTCACTGCTGAGAATCCAGGGAGATTGGTAAGTTATAGACTGGAGAAACGGATGGAGGGCCACCCTAAGGTGGGAAGGAAGGATGAAGGGGACAGAGATTTGCCAACTCTGAAGCCTAAGTTCATCCACCAAACAGAAGAGCTCAATACTAGAAACATTCCTTATTATACAATCAGGGCTATACTCACCATTAACGCTCAGCCAGCTCTTCCTCTGAATGTGGACTCAATTTTCACCATGAACAGTAAGTGGGCTGGCCACAGATATCATATACACCAAGCTGTCCCTCAGTTTGAACATTGATTCAGTTGGTCCTTTTACAGTGACCTGTCACTTACAAAACTGAACTAGACTTAGAGTGAGCCAGCCCTCACCATACATGGTACAAAATAAACCTTCAGTGTGAACACTGGATGGATGGTCTTTAACAGAACCAAAAAGCTAGCCTGCACCAGGAACGTGAACCTGACTGTTGTTTTGAATACTGACCCAGCTCTACCAGTAAATATGTTCATCTTTGGCTCTTCCTCTTCCAACAGGTCCGAAAGATTGGAGTATTTAGCTGTGGTCCCCCTGGCATGACCAAGAATGTGGAGAAGGCCTGTCAGCTCATCAACAGGCAGGACAGGACTCATTTCTCTCACCATTATGAGAACTTCTAGGCCTCTTGCTCAGCAACTATGCCCACTACTGCCCTGCTGGGACAGCAGGGGCTTTGGCCTGTGCCTTAACCAGTACTCTTCTGGCCGCCTCAGCCTTAGCTCTTCCCACCTGCCAACTTGGTCCAGGTAGCCATGCTCAGGCATCAGGTGTGGGCTCAGAGATCTCTAGGGCCAGAATGTGTCTTGAGCTTGTCGAAGGAGCTCTGTTTCAGAACTATAGGTTCAGAAGTAGGGGAGCTTTGGAGTTGGGACACAGTGAGGAGTAAGCAAACATTCGGTAGACAACTTGTCACGTTTGTGTCTGCGTCTGAGTGGTAGTATGGATGCCCGCATCTCTGAGTCCTCTTTACTCTGTGTTCTTCCTCTCTTAAAAATGGTTCAGAAATGTCTTAGAGCAGCCAAGAGCAACTTACAGAAAAGAAATCCTCAGGACCAGACTAACTGAACAACTGATCTCTCAAATTTTAAAATGTAGTCAGAACCTTCTGTGCCCACTAACCGCCTGGAGCAGTGCCCCTCAGGTCTATCTCCCTCTTCCAGTAGTTTCTTTTGCAAATAAACAGTGTTTCCCCTTTCGGGGTTTCTTTTTTGCTGCCTTAGGTCAGGGTGGAGCTAAGGAAGTCATCCACCCTAGGGGTTTTCCACGGTGGTCCAGTATCTACTGAATAAAAGCACAAAGGCTGAATACCCCAACGGAGGTCCCTTCCCTAGGAAGGACAGAGAGGAGTCCTCAGGGAGCTGCAGTCAGCCTGGCTTCCTCCAGGGCATCAGCTATTCTAGCTCTGCCCAGAGACAAAGTCTTCCAGGCTGCATGAGGAGACAGATGTCTCCTAGCCCCTCTAGACTTGTTTTCTCAGGTGCAAAATGGTGGGTTCTCTTCCTTTCATTCAAAGGCAGAGCAACCCTCGGAGAATTTCTGAAAAGGTGCCCAATGCCAAACGATTCCGTCTATTCCCTCGTTTCTCAAATCATACATCCTCACTTTGGAGAAATTCCCAACTGATTCTCGGCACACATTAGCGTCACGGGCTTGGGTTGAGGCAAGGGGCCGCAGGTTGTCCTAACAGGACAACGGTCCCGAGGGCGTCTGTTCCCCATAGAGCAGCGGGGAGGCGTCGGACCCATGGGCATCCGCTGAGGTGAGTGGCCCCAGGCCCGGCCACCAGAGGGAGCTAAGGGAAAGGGACGCGGCGCGCCCACAGCCAGCCAGGAGCTGGGAGCGCGCCTGCCGCCCGCGCGCGCCTTCCGCGTGGCAGCGCCGCCCGCGCCGTCAGCCTGGCGCGCTGCCTCTTTGTCTCTCGGCGCCTCCCGCCTCCCAGACAAACGGCTGCTGGCGGGCAGCTGGGCTCGCTCGGAAGCAATGGCAGGAGTGGCGAAGCCTGGACGCCCCTGCCCAGCGTGAGATGTTTGGTCAAAGGATGCAAGTGGATGCTCGGAAAGTACTTTTCGTAGGCAGCCGGCATTGGCTCCAGCGCTGATTTATAGTCTGGCTCGTTCCCCGCCCCCTCCCGCCAACCCCTGGGCGGCGCCGGCGGCCGCGGTTCTCCTTGGCCAAGCCTTTGGCCGGGAGCCCGGGCGGGCGAGCCCGCTGGGGACAGGGGCTGGGGGTGGGGGACGGGAAGAGGGGAGGAGGCGGAGGGTGGGTGGTGCGGGAGGTCGCCACTTCCTCCCTAGTGTCTCACTAGGGCTGGGAGACCCCCTTCCTCCTCAGGCTTTCCTCTGTTCCCAGCTCCATACAGTCCCTTTATTCCAAGGCCCAAGATTCCCTCCCCTTTATAATAAATTAAGAAATCTTCAGCGCCTATTAGATCCTAGGACAAGGGGAAGCCAGGTTTCTAGCATGTCCTTGGTAAGAACCGGAGCCCTCGTGCAGGCGACAAGGGCTGGGTCCAGGTCTCACATCTACAGAGTCCGGATGGCCACAGGGTAGAGCAGGGACATGTGTTCCGCTCCCTTAATGGGCAGCTTGCGGCTGGCATAGTGGTGCACGATTTCAGGGACACTGCTGAAGGGTGGGCTGTTCTGGCCCAAGACATACTTGTGTTCCTTGGTCCTGGACAGCTTCATATGCATGAAGCCTTGACTGCTCCTAGGAAGAAAAAGATCCCAGTGACCAGGGGTTCTCCCCAGTCCCCGACTTCTACCCCCCCCCTCAGCAAATGGGGTTCCAAAGACAGCTTCAAATGGGAGGAGGATAGGGACGGAATGGTGGGGGAGGGGAGGGTTGAGTAGGTAGCAGGAGGCACTGGCTTTGTGGTGAGGACAACTGGGTGTGCAGAGAATGTGTGTGAGGTGAGTATGCAGGGTGTGTGCTGATGGGAAGTGCAGTGACCCGCACCCTCCAATTCTGGGATCCTAGGCCTAGCCCATCAGCCTCTGGCTAAGGCCAGTTTAACCCTCCCTTGATTTTTGAGACATCGATTCATGTAGTTCAGGCTAGCCTGTCTCTATCTCTTAATTACAGGTGTGTGCCAGTTTATGGGGTGCTGAGCACAGAACCCAGGGCTTTGTACACTAGCAAGCACCTTACCAACTGAACTACAGCCCAGCCTTATCCTCAGCTCTCCCTTCTTGAGCTATATGGCAGCACCAGTCTTTGGGTCTTAGACCAAGTCAAGCCCTTTCAGTTCTGCCAGCCAGCCCTTAGGCCTAAATTGACATCATCTGGAGACGGTTAGCATTACCTACCCAGAGTGAGGTATGATAGACAAAGGAATTATGGTGTGGAGGTGAGAGGGGATGGGAGTCCCTCATCCTGGAGTCTGATGGAAGCCTCTTTCCAGCAGAGAAGCAAGCACTTCTAGCACAACTGACGTTTGCTGCAAAGGCTGGCACAGACTTAATATTCCTTTCAAATGCAGAAATTTTATGTTGAGCAGGCCTTAATGCCTGCATGTATATGACCTTGAGGAGTGGCTCATTTTCCTATACTATAGTTTGGCTGAAACTTGTGTGTGTGGGGGAACCCTGTTTACAGCAAAGCTGTCCCACCTTCCTGTGTTCCTGTGGATCAAACTTTCACCTTAGCAACAGTAATCCTATCAAGAGCCCACCAGCGATAAGATAGTAACTTTAGTGATAAGATAGTAACTTTAAACCCAACCCAAACACATTTACGGTCAAAACAAGAGGAAGAACACGAGGAGGCTGCACCCTCTCCCTCCAGGAGCTGTGCTCACGTCCTTCTTATTTCCTTCTTTTTCTCATAATCCTCATGCTTAACTATATACTAAAATAACTTTGATAAAAACCTTCAAGTTTGCTTCATAAATTGGCTAGTCCTGAAACTCTTTCAGGCCACCAATCCTGGTTTGGCCTGAGTTGAGATCCCTAAAACCCTTGGAGGGAACTCAAGATGTTGAGGATGACAGTGGGACACTGGACATCTTTTACCTGTACCTCAAAACTCTGACAAGAGAACACCTTCCACTGTCTCTCCCATCTTCCTGAACTCAGAAAGTCAGCATGAGCTAGCCCTACCCTCCAGACAGCCAGTGTGCAAAGCTCTAGCCTGCTCTCAAATGCCCCCCTCCCTTAGAAAGTATGGGGGTGAGGCACTCAGTAAGAACCATTGTCCAGACTGCCACTGGCCTGGCTTGCCAAGCCCTGAGTCTGTAACACACCCACAGCCTTGGGCTAAAGAATGTTGGGTAGAGCACAGAGCCTAATTTGCCTCCTCCTAGCTTGAGCCCAGAGGAGCAAGCAAAGGGCCAAGAGGCCTGGTAAGGAGGCTGTTTCTGCCCTGACACCCTTGTTGGCAAGGAGTTGGCAAATCAGTTGCCCCATCTACCTGAGTACAATTTTTTTTTTTTTGACTAAAGAACTATTACACTGGGAAACAAATGAGGAACAAGAAGAATGGGGGTGGGGGGGACTGAAGAAAGGGGTGAAGGGAAACTGGCCCCTAAGACCTCCCCTCTCGGTCTGGTTGCTGAAGTCTTAGGAGTCTGCCTGGCTGTGTATCAGGATACGGAGGCATCTGGAGTTCTGAGATGCTGCCTGGTGTACAGAGTGAGCACACAGGCCTCAAGGGAAGGGAGCCAAGGGTGTGGGCAATGGGGAGGTAGGGCAGTAAGCAGCCCCCATATGCTGTGGGAAGCAGTGCAGGCCCTGTCTTCTCCCACCTCAGGATTTGAGAGTGACCCCCTTCCCACAGCCCACTTGGGAGAACCACCTCTCTCAAACTGCACAGGGAGTTTTCTCAAGGAACAGACTCAGGAGGGTAACTGGCCTTCATCGGCTTTACCAGCCTCTGGAAGAGGGGTGGCTGTGCTTTTCAACCCCCAACTAGTCCCAAGGGTCCATTAAGACACAGCAAGGTCCTTGCCAGACCCTAAGGGTGTTGGGTGGGACCAGCTGGGCCTGGGGCTGGCCAGGCTTTCTGAGGAAGCTGTTTAATTACCAGTGAAAGCCCTTCCATTAGGGAGAGAAGAGAAACCATAATTGTATTTCAGAGAAGCCATTTATATGCAAACGAGACCTTGGCAGACGGCCGGCGGGGGAGATGAGCTAGAGTAGCAGAAGTCCAGGCCTGCCTTCGTAGTCCTAGACTAAGGCAGTCCCTCACCCCTAGTTGCCCAGTTCCACTGACGTCCTAACCCTTGGTGGCACCTCTTTTAGGGCTGAACAGTACCAGATTTCCAGTAAAAGGCAGCTGGTGAGGGTTGGAACCCTGTCACTGAACAGTGTAATCCTTGAAGTCAGACTGAGCTAGGTATTGTGTTTGTGTATTTTGAAACAGTCCCTGGCTATGTTCTCTAGGCTGGCCTGGAAATCCTGGATGTAAGGAATCCTGCCTCAGCTTCCTAAGTAACTGAAACCACAGGTACTATGACCACATCTAGCTTAGAGACTTAATTATTAGCTGGTGACCTTGAGCAAGTAACAAAGCTCCTTGAATCTAGTTCATTTGTATTAAAAAAAAAAAAGAAGGAAGAGATTTATCAGCACAGCAGTAGTTGATTTGGACAAGTTATATATGCTATGCGGGACATGCCAAGAATTTCAATTATAATCTTAATAACAATGTAAATCATATTTTTGACAAATGAGTTTTTCCAAAATCCTCTTTTTGATTTTATAGTTTACAGACTCCTAGAATACAAGAGCTAGAAGAAACGCACAATATCAGTTCATTCTGCAAGAAAAGAATCTGAGGCCCGGAGAAGTTGTCTATGGTCACACAGCTAGTTTTATCAAATTCCAGGAATAGAACTGAGGGCACTTAACTCTCTTTGGTACATTTCTTGATGTCTTTTAGTGAAGATGAACAATCATCTCTTAAATGTGTGCAGTTCTACCCCCTGGACTTGTTTGAAGTGCGGGCGGGGAGCACTTACCAGTATCTAACATACCCGTGAATGTGGTGTGAGGTATCCAAGATACTCCCATATTGAAGGGGGAGGTAAACGGACACCTCACTCCAGCTGGCCACTGTGTAAATGGATGGCTATACTGGGTAAAATTCCTGGTTGCCAAGAGGAGCACTCGCCATCCTACTGTGGAGAGCCTGTGGGTCTGAGTGTGCCCTGTGTAGAGCTGCTCCCAAGGAACTCCCTGATGGGAACCAAGGGCCCTATCTTGGCTACCTCTTCCTCTCATATGCAGTGGACTCAGTGGAATGCTCTGCCTTCCTCCTAAGACCTGGCTCTCCCACTCCCACCTCACCCTGCTGACCTTTCAAGTAAAACTCCTCCCATATCTCCTTGCAGGTGCTTCTACATGTTAGCATTTAACCTTGACGACAATAATTTATCTTAAAAACATGCTGGGTACTAAGGCATTAAATCAAGTGCTATTATTTCCACTTAATCCTTCCCAATAAAATGGATCTTATCAAGAAATGGAGACCTTGAAAGGTTGAACAGCAAGTGGCAGAAACCTTCTGAACTGGACACTACCCTTCAAAGGCTCCCGCCTGAGGAGTCTCAGACATTTCAGGTTCCCCAGTGCCTGGGGGATGGAGCCAGCAATTGTTCACAGGGCAACTGGTTCTTCCCAGTCTGGCTGGACCAGAATAGAATGCCGGAGTCTTCTTCTGCCCTACAGGTTAGTGGGTCCCTCTACCCACCACCACGCCTACTCACTTGAGGGAGAGAGAGAAGTCATTCTTGCTGGTCTCACTGTTGCGCACCAGGTAGCTGGCCTCTTTGCACAGCCTCAGCAGGTTCTCGGCATCTGTTCGGCTGATGGCCCCGTGGTACCAGCTGAGGATGAGAGAGGGGAAGGAGGGCATCTCTGCTGGGTCCCTCGCCGTCCAGGCCCACCCATTCTGGGTGTCCCCTGCAGGGAAGCCAGTGCCAGGGGGGAGGAAGAGGGAGGGAGTCCCCAGCTGGACACAGACACTCACACCTGGTTTTCCAGAGGCAGTGCTGGATCTGTCCACTCCCCAAGGGGACTGCTGGGTTCCATGCCTAGAGGCTTGGCTGACTTGGGGTTCCCAGCAGATAGCCTGGGAGGTAGCCGCCCCTTCTCCTCCCGGCCAGGTGACAGGCAATTCTTCTCCGATCCTTCAAACTGGGCTGTAAGGAACAGACTGGTCATGGATTCTGAGGTGTCTAGAAGCAGAGCCTTCTCACACAGCCAGTACTCTACTTCTTCCAAGTCCCCACAAAGGCATGTTCTGAGAGGGCATGCTTACAAGCCTGCCTGCCTGAGTCCAGGGACAGAATCCTGGACCACTTCTGGGAGGGGTACAGTCCCTGAGACACACCAAGCCTCCTGGGGCTTCTCAGTCCACACAGGCAAGCGAAGGAGGACAACATGAGAAACCACTTAAGCTGTCTCCCTCAGTGGACTGTCTTCCTTTCTTCCATTCCCCCTTAGGGTGGCTTCAGTGTTGATAATATTGTTTCTTTCTCCTCAGAGTTCATTACCGTTCTCCAAATCACCCTGCCAGGCTGTAGAAATGACTTATTGATCTAAGAACAATTATATGATTCCCCTTGGTACCATCCTGACAGGCTAATCCTGTCCAAAGTCGTCAGACTGCCTGGCCCTCTCCACCCCAAGGTCACTGCCCATTGTCTTCCGTCCCTTCCATAGAAGTCAAGGGAGGTAGCTCTGCATCTCCAAAGCAGAGCAGCCTGGTAGCTGAGACAGCACAAGGGAACACTGCCGGCCCCTCCAAGTGGATCACATGCATAGGCAACACTCTGTTCTACCCTGCATTTACAAAGTACCTACAAATTCTCATGCGCAATGTACAATGGATGTTCATGTCTGCACACACCCACACACACACCCACACACACCCTTGGGTGTTCATGTAGAGGAAGAAGTTGATGCCTTTGCTTTTTCCTCCCAACCGAGGCTCTTTCTCCCCGTAGCTTTTATCTTCCTTCAGTCACTAGAAGCAAGGATCTCCTTTGCCAGCACCTCCCCATACCTCACAAACACCTGCCTTAGCAGGCAGAGCTCCACCCAAAAAGAACTTAAGTTTTTAAACAGTGGATTTTTCTTTTTTTAGACACAGTTCCACTCTATAGCCCAGGGTGTTACCGACCTATGTAGCTCATGACAGTCCTCCTGCCTCAGCCTCCCAAGTGCTGGAATTGTAGCTAACAACTGGAGTTTTGTGGAACAAATCCTAGGGAAAGGGCCTTTGTTAAGAGAGCGTGCATACAGCTCTGGGTGGGGGTGGGGAATGTGCATTGTTTTTTTCCTTCTTCCTCCAGGACAAGGGGGATTCTTCCAACCCAAGCCCACAGGGGCTAGGAGGTAAAAGACCTATCACCCTGGCCATAAGTTCCCAAAGAACCCACCGCTGCTGTCCTCCAGGCTGGGCTCAGGGAGGGGTGAAGCTGGACCGGAGATGTCCCTGTCCCCGTCAGGCAGGGAGGGGCTGCTGTCCAGCTGTCCCACAGGCGGAGGCCAAGGTAGGTCTTTGATGACCTTTATGTCAACTGGAGCCAGCAGCAGAAGGGAGGCAGGAAAGAGACAGTGACAGAGACAGAGAAAGGCAGAGGTTGAGACACCAAAACACAGAGCTAAGATACAATGTAGCCTAGAAAGGAGGAGGGGCAGAGGCAGAGACAAAAGTAGCTCTGAGGAGGGAACAGGACTGGAGGGCTGAGAAGGGCAGGCATTAACCACACCAGCTCAGCCCGGTGAGAGTGGGAGTCTTGAGTGGCAAACAGGAAGGCATAGGATCTTGCTTGGTCAGCCCTGCAGGTTCCCTAATCTTCTACCCCCTCACAAGCTTCCAGAAACCCAAAGGACCAGGAGAGTGCAACATGGGAGCAGGACCTGCCCACACCTCCCAGAACCACACCTGGTTCCCTGACACCCAATGTCCCCTTTACTCATCTATCCCCAGCCTGGGAACTGACAGACCAAGACTGGGATGAAATCTTGGGTTATCTGGAATACGCAGACTTGGGGCAGAGGGATTGTTTTTTTATAAATCAAATCCTCCTCCTCCCAGTCCTGAGTGACGCCACCAGTGGCCGGCTGCAGGACCACTAACGAGGTTTCCTAATGATGAACATAGATTTTCCCATTAAGCAATCCAAACAGTATTGATTCTCCAAGGAGACTTCTGGAGATAAATGGCCCATCCTTGATGGGTGTGTGCTTTACAGGAAGCAAAGCAGAAACCTGTGGTTTCACAGTTGGGCTGCCAGGGTGGGGAGGGCAGAGCTGAAGGCTGGATGCAGGATGAGCTGTCTCTGCGAGAGAGGTAGGTCTGTGTGGTGTGTGTGTGTGTGTGTCTGTGCATGTGTGTGTGTGTGTGTAGGGACATGGAAGCAAGGGTGAAATCTAATGTCATCTCAGTCCTCAAGAGTCAGGATTGAAGGCACTCTCCCAATTTAAGGCCCTTGCTCCACCCACCTGAGACTGCCAATATGCGCGTTTCCATGGTGGACTTGGGCCTGGGACACAGTGGTATGGTTGGGACAGGAGAAACCTGATCCTCATTTAGCAACCTCGCAGCTTCCATCTGCAGCTCAGAAATACCCTGGGAGCCAGACACCTCTGGCATGGCAGGGCCTGCCACTAGAGACTCAGCCTCAGAATCTAGGTTATACGTACATCAATTTGTATCATTTGAAGTGTTAAATACCCTCTTTGTCAAATAAATTTAACATATGTCTCAAGTTTCACAATCTGTACTGGAATGTCTTTATTTTTACCCAAATTCCCAAAGGTAGTTATAGCTCGGGCCGGCCTCGAAGAGGTGAGATGTAGAGAAGTTTGTTCACTCCTGCTGGGCACACAATGCTGCATCCACGCTGCCCAAGTCCCTACCCCACAGCACAGAACTCAATTACCCTGCCCTAGAATTCCACTCCTAGATCCTGCTTGGTTCCTAGGGTCTGCTCCTTCCATTCTCCTGAGCCTGGCAAGTATTCAGAGGGCCCAGCAAGCAAGACTCACCAGCAAAGGCTTTGGAAATCCGTTCCTTCTTCCACTCCCAGGGCTGGTCATACTCTTCCGGAGGCCTCTCGTCATCCTCAGGCAGGCGGGACTCCCTGGGCCAGGGCGTCCCCTCACCTTCCGGGCTGGCCCCCTCATCTTCTGGCTCATAGGGTGTGTCATAGAGAGGTAGGGGTTGACCTGCTGTCTCCTTAGAACCCCGGATCTCTGTCCGGTGCAAAGAGGAGAGAGGTGTAAGAGCATGCTCAACCCAGAGCCTCTGCCCTGGCTTGGGGAGAGCTCAGCAGCCACAAACCCTGCGTCCCTCAACCTGGAGACGTTTCCAGGGCTCAAGATCATGGGCCCATGGGAGGAAGTGGCAGACAAGTAGCAAAGTCAAAGGAGAAGGACCCCAGGATGACCAGCAAGGGCTGGAAAGCTGAAGAGGGCAAGTTAAGGAAACTGAGGCAGAGTCCTTCTGTAGTCCATCTCTCCCTTAGTGCCCAGCTCTGTTTCCTTACTCATTTCTACTTATGTTCTAGTTAAAGTAACTTCACAATCAGGAAATCCTCTGCTGTTCAGATACCATTGACCCCCTTTTATTAAGTTTCTCCTTGACAAGTCAACTTTATCCACTGTCTTCTCTCCTTCCTGTTGATCATTTTCTCCTGGATCGTCTCTTGGTCTCAGTTCCCAGGCCCAGGCCATGTTTCGTTCTTCCTACCCTGACTCCTAAGCTGTGTGCCGAGACCTGACAGCATCAGTACATCGGGAGTGCTGGTCCTCCTTCTCAGCTGTTACCAACGAGTCATGCTGTCCTCAGCTCCCTTCAGACTCATCACCTTCTCCAGAGCTAGGAAATCATTTTAGGATCACTGATCTAAATCTGAGAAAAGCTCCAGAGTTAACTTGCCACAAAATGTGTATTTTAGGACTGGGACACTTGCTTAGCATACACAAGGCCTGGGTTTAATCGCCAGGACCATCCCTGCTTCCAGCCATTCTCCCCATAAAAATGTATAATTAAAGCACTTAAATTTTCACATATAATTCCAGGATATTCACAGCCCATATTAACTCTCAGACCTAACCTGGGTATCCCTTCTTATTCTGTCAGCTTCTGCCCACCTCACTGTTCCTGTCGGACCTCACTCGACTGCACTCTTTAACTTCATCTGCTCATTCCCAATACCGCATGACTTCCAACTTCGCCTCTCCATAGCTAGACTTTAATTAGAACAAACCTCCACCTTACAGACTCTTTGAAATAACCCACCTGTGATGACAATCTTCCCCTCACCAATCTCTAACAAGGAGGGCAGGGCAGTTTATCTGATTGGCCAGCGAGTGCTCACTCTCTTCCTCAGCTCTGCCTTCTTGCAGAAACACATTTTGTCCCTGTACAGAGGCTCACAGCTACCCTGTGCTGCCAAGCCTGGGTAAGCATGTTTAATTTTCTTGAAACGTATTTTTAAAAACATTGTGTTAACATTGCTAAGTTATATCCTTCAGTCAACTTTATCAGTAATAAAGAATGTTTAATTACCGGCTCCTTGGAATCCCAACAATTGGGCTGGGCATGGTGGCATATGTATGTAGTCCCAGCACTTGGAAGGTAAGGTCAGGAGGATTGCTGTAATTTCAGGCTAGCCTGGATTACGTAATAAGTTCCAGGCCAGCCTGGTCTACATATTGAGACCACATCTTATAAAACCAAACAAAAATACAACAATACCAAGAAGTAACAAACCAAACCATTTCTGAACTAGCTTGCTAACTCGGCTTTATGACAGGTAGCTCTTCTAGTGCATTCTGTATACCACGGCCTCAGAAATCCCCTTAAATGCCATATTAATCTTCTTTCTTCTCGCACAAGTCCACACCCTTTACTTCACTCTTTGCATCCTTCTTGCTCTCTGCCATCTCAGAGCCTGAAGCACCACTTCTCTTGGTCTCCCCTTCACCCCTCCTCTCCGGTCCCCTCCTGTCCTTTTTGTTCACCCCCTACTCTGACTCTTTCCCTGGGTCATCTCTTGGCCTGTTTCCCCTAGGGCAGGTCTGACTCAGTCCTTTCTACTCTGACTCTGAACGCTTCCTTGGACCACTCCATGGCACCCAGTGCATCTGCTCACATGCTGTTAGTGCTTCTCTTTGATAACGTTAACTCAGATTTATCACATTTCCAAAGGCTACTGACTGACTCTCTTTTGGGAATGTTTGACTCAACTCCCACCGCCATCCTGGAGCTAGGAAGCCTGTCTCCAGTGCTTCCACTGGACCTTTGGTTACATGACCTCCCCTGTGGCCTCAGATGCCACAGCTTACACCTTCTCTTCCAAAAATCTTGAAGGCCCTGACCACATTCCTAAGGACCTGGTACAGGCTGGCTTTCTCCCTAACTGCCAGGGACCATGGGACCAGTCCTTGGATTTGTTGTGCAGAGCCAAGGCCTCAGGGAGCAATCTCCCTCCTCCTCAGTACGTACCAGCCATCATCTTTTGGGCCTCATAGGGCTCCATGTAGCCATCATTCTCAGGGACCTTCTCTGGAACTCCTGAAGTTCCTCCTGAGCCTTCACCAGTCTCCTGAACATCAAATGGGTCCGCATAGTCCTCTAGGATTGCCAACTGGGAGAAGGCAAAGAGAACAAGGTTCAGACAAGGACAGGCAGCTCTGCTCCCCCTGGCAGAGATGGAGCTTCTTTCTTTTCTGCTAATTTTCTGCCTTGTGGTCATGTTCTAGGCAGAATAACCAGGATGAAGCTATTGGGTCTCAAGAGTTAATCTTAGGGTCCGAGCTGGACAACAGCCTATGCACAGAGAGAACTCAAAAGCAACGGCTACAAACGTGTGGCAAGAGTTGTGCAGAAGAGCTGAACAGTGAGGCATCTCAGAGATTAGCACAGCATAGCCTGCCACATGTCCAGATGCTCAACAAAGAGCCAGTGACCTTGGAGAAACTAAACCTGAAGGTGCAGCACACACCTTTAAGCCCAGTACTCAGAGGCAGAGGCAGGTGGAGCTCTGGGAGTTCTAGGCTGTTCCAGGCAGAAGGAGGAGGGGCAGGAGGAAGAGGGAAAAGAAAGACATCACTTTGTCACCCTTCTGTTGTCAGGTCCTTGTTCTATGGGGATGGGATCATAAACTCTCTTTGAAGAAACTGGACAGCAGGGAGTTAGGAAATACATGGTAAACTATTCGACTTAAATGAACATTCAAATTTGGAACCCCTGCTATTTCTGTGCATGGCTATCGACTTGTAGCTGGTGGGGCCTCTCAGCCTCCTGGGAGGAAAATGCCTCGGGGACACTACTGAAACGGCTGAGTTCCCAGAGGCCAGGACCCAGAAAAACAGTCTTAGCTTTCCATTTCCCCTTCTCGTACATTGGCAAGCCTAGGTTCTTGCTCCCAGTGACAGCAGAGGAAGCTGAGGCACTCAGGGCTGGGCAGGGCAGGGCCGGCAGAGGACAATGGAGTCTTTCTCCAAACAGGGCAGGAAAAGGTAGGACTCACCCAGCCAGACCCTGGAGCACTGTACCACTTAGAGGGTCATGGCTGGCATCAGAGGTGGTTCTGGGACTCATGGCACAGGGAATGGCCTCTTCTGTATTTCACCCAACTGAAGCCTGCACTTCAGATCTGAGGGAACCAGCTGAGCCAGGTGACCACCCTGCCCTCAGTGAGGGGATCTGGGAATGGGGATCCCTGGGAGGACAAGATGGAGAAAGAACCAACCCCACCTCACACATCCCTATGGCCCCATGTGTCCCATCTATAGGTTTTCTGAGGTTGTCCCAGTGGCCGCCTCTACCTTATCCTCAGGTGTTTTAGCTCCTACCTTGGTTCAGTCTGGCCCTCATGTCCTTTAATTCCCTGCATACCTGCTGCTTGGGGTAGCTCACATCAACCCACCAGTAATCCAGGTCATCTGCTAGCCTACACATCTCATGCGCATCTCTCTAGCTCCAATAAGCAACTGACGGAAGGCTGTAAACACCCTTCTTTATTCTATCAGCACCGTCTCTCTCGAGCCTTCACCCCAGTCCTCCTTTCTCCAGGAAACATCAATCTCTTCAGGCCCATCACACACTGTCCCCCTATCCCCAACTTTTTTTCCCCTCCAGGCCATTGGTACCCACAGCATCACCCACTGCCCAGTGCTGGCAATTCTGCCAGTCAGCACACAGCATCAACTCGTGTGTGGCAGCCATTCTACAGTGCCTGCGTCACCTGACACATTATCCTTACACCTCACAATAAACAGACCTCCAGTGTTTTGAGAAGAGTTCAAGGTTAGAGAACATGAGATTCTACTTTCCTCTTTGGACCATGCTCTGAAAGCACCATGGCTGTTTTACTCAATGGTTTCCTCTCTGCCTGCACACCACTTTCCTGTCCTGGCTAATCCTTGCTCAAGTTCCTTCTCTCAGAAGCCCCTTCCAGGCTCCTCCCGGCCCAGCCTGTGAGGTACCTCTGTCTGATTGCTTTGTGTGGCAAATGCTTATTCTACTGTTGGTCTTTTGGCAGACTGGGCACTTCCTGGGGGCAGGACCCACATTTATAGCTAAATACCCAAGAACTTACACCTCTCAGTAATTATGTTAAATCTACCACATAAAAGGAGAGGAGTGGATGAAAAGCACTCTCCCCTCCCCTCGATTGATTTAGAAGATGTAGAAAAAATATAAGCTTAGGTAGATATGGTCATTAAAGGAAGACCCAAGTCTTTCCAAACAAGACTGCGTGCAATCTTCTCAGGTGCAGCCCTCAACACCCTTCCTAGCCTCCTGGAACCTTACTTCAGAGCCCTTCCAGGCCTCCCCTCAGCAAGTTTGGTTAGAGTTGTACACCGTTGCTTTTTCCTGGAATCCCTACCCCTCCCAGGCTGGCGTGGGCCTCTCCAGTACCAGCTGACAGTGCCTGTAGGCAACCAGGTGGTGGTTCTGCAGACAGCTCAATAGCTCCTCTGTTGCACTCCTGGTTCCACACCCTGCTCCAGGAAGCCCCAGACCCCCACCCTGGGCTACCCACAAGGCCCAGAACAGGAGTGGCAGCAGAGTCACCAGCTGGGAAGGCTGGCAGGACTGGTACCCACTCTGGGCACAGAAAATCCAAGTCAGATCCCAAGCTTGCTTGCCCAGTGTTTCAGTGTCTAGTGGGGGATAAACTGCTTACAGGAAAACAGTCCCTGCAGACTACATTTGGCGTACTACAATTTGTTGTCTGTGGTCCCCTGACCCTCTCTGATGTGCCCACTACTCTACCCAACACTCGTCACAGGCCCACCACACAGCAGATGCTGAATGCGTATTTACTGGATGTCTAAAGAGCTTCTACTCAGGCCTCTATTGAAGTGACATCTGTGCCACCTGCCCCAGTCACTCTGACCTTTGAATGACCTGAATGATCAGTGGCAGTGGGAGGCTCAGGCTCACTGGAGAATCCATTTTTGAATGGGGATCAAAGCCTCTGGCTAAAGGGTGGATGGGGAGAACTGCCACCTAGGGCACCTAACACAAGAGCAATACTCAAGCATCCCCTCTTTCCTGCCGGTGTGCTGCTAAAGTGCTCAAATACTTCCCAACAAGGAGGTAAGGCAGCGGCTACTTGAAGGGCCCTGTATCACACCCTGCTCTCTCTTCTGCCATCCTGTAAGCTGTGCTGTCTCTAGGACCCTGGCACTCATCTGTTCAGTTGGGCAGTGGCCCTCCCAGAGCAGTTGCAAGCCTCTGAATCTCCTTCCTCCCCTCCCACGGCAGCTAACAGGACTGCCATCTGTGTCCACCTTCCACTCTGCAGTTGGCCCCAGCAATGTTTCTGACCCTACCCATGGGTTCCGGGGCCAGGTGTTGGTGTTTGCAGAACAGGTACTTTGTGGACTCCAGAGTTCCCAAACTCTCTTATTGCATAATTACTCCACAGCTTCAAGTTCACAAGTCTCTCGCCTCCGCCCCCAAACCCCTGCTGTAGCAGAAAGGGTAAGGCATAAATAGCAAGAAGGAGCTGTAAGATTCTTAGCTGGAAGGTTGACGGGGATGAGTGGTCAATGAATATTAGCTCTTAGGGCTGGAGAGATGGCTCAGCAGTTAAGAGCAGTGGCTGCTCTTCCAGAGGACCTGGGTTCAACTCCTAGCACCCACATAGCAAAGCTTCAGTTGGGGCAGTCAACCAATGCCCTCTTCTGGTGTTCACAGGCACTGCAATGCACAAGACTGAGACCCAATTCTTTCCTCGATTTTTAGATTTATATTTTAGTTTAGGAGTTGAGGTCACAGTCCAATGATAAGAGCATTTGCCTAGCAAGGCAAGACCCACACCAGGTTCAATCTTTAGCACTAGAAAAAAAAATCACTTGAGCGTTGACAGTCTGATTCTCTTTGATTTAGTATTTCCCCACAGTATTTAACCCTTTGTCACTCAAAACCAATGACCTAATCAGTGTGGTTAAGAGGACAGTACTTACTTTCTGAGGTCAAACATCTGTCCCTGCTACTCCTACTTACTGTAATACCTTCTCCTGTTGTACATGCTTGGGAAATACGACCGTAACACAAATGGGTTATTTCCTGACTTCTAATTGTAAAAGTAATGCCATACTTACAAAACACCCAAACATCACAGACATGTAGCTGATGTCACCAACCCTTGTAAGGCCTTTGGGTGTGTCATGTCTCTGTTTACTTCAAGACAGTTCTGCCAGTGGCAGGCTCCAGTGCTCTAGGCACAGAACACACCATCTCTTCTCCTGGAGCCTCTGTTGCTAGTTAGCAAATGCTGCATGAATGCCGCCTCTCCACTGGGCCCTGCTGCTGAGGGCCCTGGTGTGGCACTCAGACTAGAATCATACTGCTGGGTCGGCAGCTTCAGGTCTACTGCTTGCCGGCTGAGCAGCCCTACAAGTGGGACTCAGCACCCCTGTGCTTCAGCTCCCCATGAACAACCCAGGGATAGACTCTTTGAGGGCTGCTGTAAACACTGGACCAGTATACATTAGCTGCGGGAAATGGTGCCAGGCACAGGATACACGCTCAGTAAATGCCAGCCACAGTATTATTAAAGACAGAGAGATCAAATTTTGGGGTCCCCCAAGAGCTCATACTAACAGACATAAAATAAGCTCTAAGGAGAGTGAAGCACCCTGAGGTGTTCTGGAGTTACCCCCAAGTCCATGGTTTGCAGGAGTTGGGCCTCATTCTTGCTCTTACATAATGTCACCATGGTTCTGGGATGAGGACAAGTAGAATTACAGGAGGTACCCCCTCGGGGTACTCAGCCTGGGCAGCTTTCTTCTCCTACCCACAAGCACCAGGGTCTCAGCTGTCGCCAGCTCTCAAGAGGCAGAGTGCAAGGGTCAAGGTGTTGACCAAGTCACTCACTGGCCAGGCCAGTGTGGATATCTCCTAGATGTCTGGTTCCAGACTGTGGTACTCAGTGTGAGGAGGCAGCATCTAACAGAGGAAACAGGCCAGCCCACAACCCATCAGCAGTCAGTCTCCAGCCATCCTTGGAGTGCCAGTGACAACACAGATAACCAGCCCAGGGCTGGTCTAACTGGGCAACACCAGTCCTTCCTCTTCCCCACACCTCCCTTTGTCACATTTTCCTACTGCATCTGAATAAGCACAAGATAAGTTAACCAGACTTCCACACTCTGTGAAGACATAAGGCAAAAAAAAAAAAAAGATAAGAAAAACCTCAAAAAACAAACAAACAAACAAAAACAAACCCCCAAACAAAAGCAAACACACAAGAATCCCAAAACAAAAAAGCCAAGGAACAGGTGTTCCTCTCAGCACACTTAAGGACATACACAGCACACTCAAGGAACACTGTCTAAGAGTGGTCCTAGCTTTGGCAGTCTTTACACGATCATCTGCACAGAAGCATCATGACCGAATATAGACACCTCAGCCTCTTACCTCACCGTTTTCTTCCTGTTTGCTCCCTGCTTTCTAAAAGGAGCCTGGATGCTCCAAGCCTACGCAGTACATCTGTGACACACACCTGTTGTCAGAAGTTCTCAATACTGGGGCTCAAATGCTGGCTCAGATTGATCCCTAGGACCCACTGCTTGGAAGGAGTTGCTGACCTTCCCATGTGTGTCTGTATGCAAGTATACACACAATATACATACACATTTTAATTTTAAAAGGGTTTTCAGTATAGGGCTAGAGGGGTGGTGCAGCAGTTAAGAGTGAATGCTCCTCTTGAAAAGAATCTGAATTTGGTTCTCAGCATCCACATCTGGTAGCTCACAACTTCCTGTGACTACAGCTCCAGGGGATCTGACACCCTCTTCTGGTCTTGACGGGCACTGCATTTATATACATAGTCACATAAGATGCACAAAAGTGTGTGTGTACATACACACATACACACACACACACACATATATATATATATTAAAATGTTTAAAACTGTTAATGAAATCTTTTTAAAAATTTTTTCAATTTCAATACTATTTTGGGGGCTACGTACTCCTGTAAAAATTTGAGAGCTATGAGCCTTTTCCCATATAAATGAGAAATACCTGCACACAACTTCTGGGTGCTCAAGAGCCCTAGGGTTGCCCTCGTGAGCTAGGAATAAGAGACCTGGTATCAATACGGGGTGCCTGTTTTATTATCTACATCAGGTCTCGAATTCACATTGGCACAACAGAGGATACACTGCAGATGTGATAAGCAACTCAGCCTTCATTTTATCACAGCCTCTCATTCCTTTTCCCTAATTAGATCATGTTTTTTTCCTGTTGAAGCTTGGAGAACAGTGAATGCATGAAGAGGAGGCCCAACACCCTGGACCTTCTGCCGGAGCAGAGACTGGAAGTGGGACAAGGGCCCAGCACCAGAGGAGGTTCTTTGGGGGCCATCTGGCCAGGCCCTAGCTGCCGGTTGCAGGGTGTTGCTCTTGCTGTTCCCACACCTGCCCTGCCAGGCCTGGCCAGATGGTCAGCTCTGAGTCTTTGCCAGCTGTACCAGTGGGTTTCAGAGTGGGCTGGCAGCCAGAGAGCCCAGCAAAGAAGGCTAATGAGCCCCCAGGACCTCAGGGCCGTGTCCAGATCTCATTCCCTCTTGCCTCCTCACCCTATGTGCCTTTGCATCTCCAGCTTAGTGGGAAAGCACATCTACCCATTCCATCCAACCCCAGGACACGGCCCCCTCGGGTGCTCTGGAACCTCTTTCTGCCAGCCAAGGAAAAGAGAGGGGAAGCGGCCACCGAGTATAGAAACCGCAGCTCAGTGGGAGTGTCGGTCCAGAGGCAGCACTGTACACTCAGTAGGCCCCGAGGGTGTCTGGCCACCTGGGTTTGGGGTAAGAGCTCAGTTACCTTGTCTGGCTTAGCTTTTCCTAGGGGAATACTCTGGGATCTCTCAAATTCCGTTCCTAGATGGTAGGGAGTTGACTGATTTCTGAATAATGAGGAGCCATAGGTCAGCCCATGGGACAGCTCAGATGGTACATCCTGGATCCTTTCATCACACACACCAAAGAAAGCACAGATTGTGTGGCTCCTGGGAGAGCCTATCGGATTTCATTCCTGTCTCTGTGGCTGGCTGGCAAGAGACTCAGACACCTCTTGTGCATCCCCTCCCCCAGGTCTGAAAAACCCCACAGGTCAGAGCTGACCCAACTGAAGCACAGAGCATGGATAGTCTCGGCAGGAAGGGTCTGAGGGTCTGTGCATAGGGCTACAGCTCCTTCCTTGGAGGGTTCTGGGAAAATATGAGAGGAAAACCATGTCTTGGAAATCCCTGCCCCTTAAGCCACCCTGTTAACGGATACGTACCATTTCAGGACACTGGGTCAGACACTATGGAGACAGAGAAATGACAACAACAACAACAAAAATGGACGTTTTCCTGGAGGAACCCACAGTGTGGTGGGCAGCTTGTTAGGTCACTCTAAGCCACTACTGGAAGAATAGTCAAGGACAGCTGAGACCACAGGCCAACAGCCAGTGGCCGGGGAGGAGGAGACTGGTCTGCAGGGGAGGACAAGGCCTGGCAGCTCCCTCTGTTCACTGTCATACCCGCATTGAGCCAGATAAGAGCAGGGCAATCAGGAAGGAGACTGCACTCGGCCTGGAAGAAGGGCCCTTGGACCTTCCTCTTCAGCTTAAGGATGGTGAGCCGGCATGGTCAGCCATACTCTGTGGCAACAACTATGGGGGAAATGATTCACACACCTCTTATCCAGCAAGCCTCGCAGGACAGCGATCTTTTGGCTAAAAAGCCCAATTGTGAAACCTGAGGATTCAGGTATTAACGGCTCTCTAATCAGATAAAAATCTTCTCTACTGAGACGAGCAAGCCCTGGAGGGATGAGCTCTCAGACACGTGGAGGGCAACAGAGCTGGGGTGGCTCAGAGTCACTGCCCTCCGACTTAGGGAGACTAAGGACAGCTTTCAACTGTCTATCATCCAGGACAGGATAAAACTGGAATTAAGAAGGAAGGTAGATGTCCTGAGAAACAAACTATTGGGAGGCTTCCTCCAGAGACTGCAGATCCATGAAAAGCTCCAGTCTCAGAATGGTCAGAAAGAGGGAAGCCAAGAAGAGATGATGAATGAACCCAGTCACTCAGCCTTAACTGGGCAACAGGTCCTGACCACCAAGTGTCCCCATACTTGGGGGAACACCAGAAGGAGTGCACCTGTACCCCAAGGATGAATTTCTTCAGTAAGAGATGGACAATGCTCATATTGACATCCGGAGTACATTTCCCTTCTCTAACCCCACTGGGAAAGGCAAAGCCCAGTGCTCGCTGTGTTCACGTAAGAAATCTTAGTTTTCAGCTCCTTTCTGGGCTTCAGACCTGCAAAGATGCCTGGACTCCAGGACAGGGTGGGAGGATGGAGAAGGGGAAAGGGAGGGGGAGAGGAAAGCTTTGTGGAGGGAAGAGTCAAGAGATCAAAGGGCAGAGAAGCCGCTGCTCTGGAGAGGGCACAAAGGCCATAAACCGGCAAAGGGGAGGGAGGGGTGTTTCTCAATGCCCGTTAGAAAAAAGGCGCCAGGGTCAGGGTGGAAGATTGCAAAGCTGAGGGAAGAGCCCATGAGGGAGGTCGTCCGGAGTCCTGGGGCCCTAACAGGAAACAGGGCAGAGTTTGGGGCTCAGATTAGTGGGTGGAGAAACTAACAAAGGGGTTAAAATTTGAGCCCCCGTGTCAGGGACTAAGCTTGTATCAACCAGAAATACTGACAGCTAAAGGCTGAGCCCCAGCCCGGCCACCTTTGTCCCTCCCTAAATCTCCGACCTCAGACCACCATCCCTCCTGGACACCCACGCCCGGCGCAGCACTCACCCTGTCGCTGCTGGCAGGGGGTCCGGAGTCCGGAGGGGGCGCTGGGGGGCCGGGGGTCTCGACCCGAATGAGGCGGTGCGGGGGTGAGCCATGGCGCGGGGGCGGAGTGGGGCCAGGGACGGCTGGGGTGGAAAGGGCGGCGGACGCAGACGAGCCCCCGGAGTAGGGGTCCTCGAAGTCGCGGTCTCGCTGCAGCCGGTAGGCGGCCAGGATGTCCGGGGGCGGCGCAGGGGGCGCGGCCGGGCAGGGCGCTGGGGGGCGGTAGTCGGGCTCTGGGGGGGCGGGTTTGGCGCCCCCTCCGCCGCCGCCCCCGCGGAAGCCCAGGTGCTCCCGCAGCCACTTTGCGACTCCGCCACTGCCTCCCCCTCCTGGGCCGGTCCCCGCACCCCCAGCCCCGCGGCGAGATCCCCCGGGGCCGCCCCCCGCGCTGCCCTGCGCCCGCGGCCCGGGGCCGGAGCCCGTAGGAGGAGCTCCGCTCAGTAGCATGGGGCCCTCCCAACTGAGCGAGCAGACTCGGGCGGCGGGGGCGGGGCTAGAGGGGGCGGGGCTGCGCCGGCGGGAGGGGCGGAGCTCGGCGTCAGTGACAGGAGGGGCGGGGCCCACTGCCTAACGGGGACCGGAGGACTCTGAGTGGAGTAGATGGGAGACTGCGGGGTGCGGGGAGCAGTTGCTGCGCCCAGGGTGAATCCTCCACGTGTCGCTACGCGTGCTCCTGTGGGGCGCGCACTAGTCCCATCTGCTCTTCTTTTTCACCTCCCAGTTTGCGTCAGACGCGGGAAGATGAGTCCCCAGGCACATCCTACCCATCCTTATTCCTTTCTCCCAACCCAAAGACCCAAACAACATTTTCGAAGAAGCTGCTCTTTAGATGTGCCTATTACTGCCTTCACCTTGGGAGTACCGCCTACCTCCTCCTATCCCTCAGCTCATACCCAAACCTAGGTTGCCTTTCTACCCAGGCAAACTTCTCACATGGCATGTAATCAGTTCTCCAGAGACACCCGTTGCTCTGATGTTTCCACACCCACCCACCAGCTTCAAAGGCTAACAACCCTCGCACAATTCCCATCCATGCTTACACCGGCCCCCAGCAGGCCCACGCAGCCCTCCCAGCTGCACTGCTTTCTTGTGGAAATCCCTCAAGCTACACCCTGGGTTTGTCAATCAGTTTGTGACAGAATAAAACCAGACAAGTCAAAAAATCAAGTGAGAAACAGGTCTATGTTGTCTACCACCAGCTCCTTACCTTCTCAGGGCTCCGACACTGGTCTGATGATGCCCAGTTGCCTGAAGTTTCTTTTTTGTTTTTGGTGTTTTGTTTTGTTTCGAGACAGGGTTTCTCTTATAGCCAGGGCTGTCATGGAACTCACTCTGTAGACCAGGCTGGCCTCGAACTCAGAAATCCGCCTGCCTCTGCCTCCCAAGTGCTGAGATTAAAGGCGTGCGCCACCACCGCCTGGCCCTGGAGTTTTGTCTTAGAAAGAAAGCAGCAGATTGTTCACTAGAAGTATTATAGCCCTGAAGCTAGGGCCAACAACTCTAGCCTGCCTCTCTCTCTCTCTCTCTCTCTCTCTCTCTCTCTCTCTCTCTCTCTCTCTCTCGCTCTCTCGCTCTCTCGCTCTCTCGCTCTCTCGCTCTCTCGCTCTCTCGCTCTCTCGCTCTCTCGCTCTCTCGCTCTCTCGCTCTCGCTCTCTCTCTTTCTCTTTCTCTTTCTCTCTCCTGGGAAAATCTGTGGTACAGGCTCTACACACTGTCTCTGTGCTTCTTTACTCTCTTCTAGTTGCTTATGGTTGTTTTTAAGATAAGGCTTCATACTGTAGTAGGCCTGTAAAAGCTCAATCTACTTTACTCTGGCCCAGTCTCCAGCGAGGGTTGAACAATCTGTCTTGACTGGCATGTACCACCTTTGTGAGAATCAGGTGAACCTCCAAAGAGGAGTGAATTCAAAGCTGAGAAAGAAGGGTGTGATGGGAAAACATTAAATCTATTATTCTTACGATTTCAGATTTCAACTACGTTAAATTTCTGCCATGTGCAAATTCTTTTTTTTTTTTTTTCCACGAGGGGAGGTTTATTAAGAGAGTGGGAGAGCAAGAGGAGAGAGAGAGAGAGAAGTAGAGAGGAGTAGAGGCCGGCCATGACCACGTGGAGAGAGGGGGAAGAGAAGGGGAGAGGGGAGAGGATAACCTGCAGGTGCTCAGGGTTGAGGAGCAAGAGCCCATGTGCAAATTCTAATGTCATGTATTCTCAAACAGTAATGTGACCCTTGATCTGGGTGTTGGTGGGGGTGTTTTGTTACATTGTAGACTGTCATTTTTGCAGGTCTAGCTGAGGAACTCCCAGATGATAAAAATGTCTTTGGACCCCAACCGCACATTGGATAGCAGGCCTGAAAAAGACACTGAGAACTTTCACTTCACGAGGTCTAATAGAGAAAATAAGAGGTGTACATTCTAGAATGTACAGTTTAAAATATTAACTAATGATGAAATGGCAAACACAAGAAATGACAGGTTCCTGAGGATATTCTAGTTGACTCTTACACAGGAAAGGCATTGGACAGGAGGAGAGGGTCTCCGCACTGACCAAACGCGAGAAGATGGGAAAGGCATTGGACAGGAGTCAACAGCTGTGAGACCTAGCCAACTCTTGGGCCAAGACCACACCCTGGTCCTATCCTAGAAAGGGTGATAGGAGTTGTTGTTGTGCAGATTAAGGGCAATGAATGATGAGAATCAGCCCTAGCTATGTGGCCCTGCCTAGCCTGGTAGTAACTTTGCAATCAGGCCGAAGCTCAGACTCATGACGCTCCTGTTGTCTCAAGCTTTCCCAAGTTCTGGGGTTGCAGGTATGAGCCACCACACTAGTCGTATTTGCTTCAAAATATATAAAATGATGGGTGGTGGTGGTGGCAGTGGTGGTGGCGGGGTACAGTGGTGGTGACATGTGGTGGTTCGAATGAGAATGGTCCCCATAAGTTTGTTGAGAAGGATTGGGAGGTGTGGCCTTGTCAGAGGAAGTGTGGCTTTCTTGGAGGAGATGTGTCACTAGGGGTGGTCTTTGAGGTTTCAAAAGCCCATTACAGGCCTAGTCTCCACCCACCTCCTCTCTACTGGCTGCATGTGAATCAGGATGTAAAGCTCTGAGCTACTTATTCCTCCAGCAACATGCCTGCCTGCCTGCCTGCCTGCCACCATGCTCTCTGCCATGATGATAATGGGCTAACCCTCTGAAACTATAAGCAAGTCCTCAACTGAATGCTTTCTTCAATGACCACAATCCTAGTAATTGGAAGGGTGAAGCTACTGGATCAGGAGTTCAAGGACATTGTCTGGTTAAAGAGTTTGAAGCCAGCCTGGGCTCCCTGAATCCCTGTCCCACAAAACAAAAACAAACCTGTAATGCTAGGCATGGTGGTACACCACTTTAATCCTAACATTCAAAGGTAGAGGCTGGAGACAAAACCCTGTAAATACAGTGGGCATGCCTATAATCTAGCTCTCAGAGGCTATAGCAGGAGTCCCTTAATGAATTCCAATTCATCTTGGGAGACTCTGCCTCAAAAACTAAAAAGGCAGGAGCTGAAGGGATGACTCAGTAGTTAAGAGCACTTACTGCTCTTCCAGAGGACTGACTTTGGTCCCAGCAACAACGACAGGCAAGTCCAGCTCCAGGGGATCCCACACCTTCTAGTTTCTGTGGAAACTCATGTATATGCAAGTATATGCATGTACAGGCACACTCTTGTGTGGGCACACACACAGACACACAAATGAAGACAAAAATACCTGCACATAAAAAATAAATAATTTTAAAAAGATATTTTAATATAGGCCTAAAAATAAATGCTAAGAGAAAGAGAAGCTTCCAGCAGAAAGATAAGACACACCCAAAATCTTGAGTGTAGGCTTCAAAGAAGAGCTGAGGAAGCAGGACATCCCCCAGTGTGGGTACAGCTGTGGTAGGCTCCTCAAGAGCCGTGCTCATTGCTTTTTATGTTCCGTTTGTTTGTTTTTTGTTTTGTTTTTTTTTTACAATAATCCTATGTAAGATTTTAGAGGGTTTTGACGTTACCAATCCAAATGAGGCCAGGCTGAGGTGGCGCACGCCTTTAGTCCCAGCACTTGGGAGGCAGAGGCAGGCGGATTTCTGAGTTCAAGGCCAGCCTGGTCTACAGAGTGAGTTCCAGGACAGCCCGTCTATACAGAGAAACCCTGTCTCGAAAAACCAAAAAAAAAAAAAAAAAAAGAAATCCAAATGAGACCACAAGGTGCTTCCTTAGGGGTCCCTGATAAGACTATAATTGATAAGGTAAAAGTATAACTCACAAGGATACAAGGATGTAGGATAACTCTACTATAGCAACGCTAGCAGTCCTGTTACGATTCTTTGGAGAGAATGAATGAGGGCCTACCCAAGGTCATATACATCCAGAAGTTAAGCCTGTTATTACTTCAACATAAAACGTCTATGTATGACCAGGAGCACACAAAACAAAGACAAGCAGGCAGGCAGGGCAGCCTTTATGTTGGAATTTTTTAACATAAAAAAAAAAAGTGTGTGTGTATGTGTAAGTTAGAGTTGCTTCCCTCCTTCCAAAGTTCTACCAGGAATTGAACTTAGACTGTTATTAGCCTTGGTGGTAGGAACCTTTAGAAGCTTCAGTCAGACTCTGGAGTGAGGAAAACCTTCTGTTTTCCTATGCCATCATATATTTCTTGGTCTTTCTATGTTCCTTCAAGATTTGGATAAATGAAATAAAGAGCTAAGTGCCATTCCAATCCAGGAGGCATCAGGAGTCAAGCAAAGGAATAGAGGTGGAGCCCAGCGTGATATACAGACAGTACTCACAGGGCTGAGGGGTGGCCCAACATGATATACAGACAGTACTCACAGGGCTGAGGGGTGGCCCAGCGTGATATACAGATAGTATTCACAGGGCTGAGGGGTGGCCCAGCATGATATACAGACAGTACTCACAGGGGTGAGTGACCTGACCTGCGGGTCCTAGTTATTCGTGGGGGCGAGGAGGACTACAACCTGAAAAAGAACGGGTGAGAGAGAAGAACGGACTCAAGGAAGCAATTGCTTGTCAAGAGCCATCTATTTGAACGCAAAGCGCCCTTTTACAGTATATTTTACAAAAGGAAGGGGGTAAGAGGGGCCAGGTGGTGGAAAAGTACAGAATCTTCTTGGCCTGTGCCTTGAAACATTTCATGGTTTATACGGTACACTGCCTTGAATTATGATCTACCTGCTTTCCTCAGAAGATACGGCACACTGCCTTGAATCTATCTGCAGCTGCCAAGCAGGATCTTGCAGTTGCCAAGCTGCAGGGGACATTGTGCAGGTGGGGAAAGGTAGTGGGTGAGGATAAGGGCGAGGGTCCTGGCTTCTGGCAGGTGAGGGATGGCCCAGCATGATATACAGACAGTACTCACAGGGGTGAGGGGTGGCCCAGCACCTAAGAGCACTTGTTGCTTTTG